TGGTGAAGTGCCACAAGAATTGAGTCGGTTATTTCGACTCCAAACACTTGATTTCGCCAATAACACATTAGAAGGAGAATTTCCCACCAACTTGTTGAATTGCTCTCAACTAAAGGTCTTGAGCTTACAAGGCAATCATTTTATTGGTGAACTACCAGTGAATATTGAATTACTTGGCAAGCTTGAAGAGTTGAATATTCATATGAACAATCTAAGTGGACAAATCCCAGCTTCAATAGGAAATTTATCATCCCTCTTTTTTCTTTTCATGGGTTATAATAACTTGGAGGGACACTTACCAAAAGAAATAGGTCATTTGAAAAGCCTGAGAAGGATCCAGGTGAGTGCCAATAAGCTATCTGGTGAGATTCCTTCTTCTCTTTACAATTTGTCATCTCTCACTGGCATTGCATTTGTTAACAATCAGTTCAGTGGTCCTCTTCAAGACAACATGTTCCACACCCTCCCTCATCTCAATTTTTTAGGAATGGGTATGAATCAATTCTCAGGTTCAATCCCAAGTTCCATCACTAATGCATCTAAGATTAAAATATTAGATATTGGTGACAACAATTTGGCTGGGCATGTCCCAAGTCTAGGGAATTTACCATATATTTCAACTCTAAACATTGATTCAAACAATCTTGGTAGCAATTCATCTAATGACTAGCAGTTTTTGAAGTCTTTGATAAACTGTAGTCAACTAAATATATTGGATATAAGCTACAATAATTTTGGAGGACCTATTCCTAATTTTGTGGGGAATTTTTCCAAATTTACTGGACTAGCTATTGGTGGAAATCATATATGTGGAAAAATCCCTGAGGAATTAGGAAATCTTGTTGACTTAATTGCCTTGGGTATGGAGAATAACATAATCAGTGGTAGTATTCCAACCACTTTTGATAAGCTCCAAAAGATGCAAAAATTAACTTTGGCAGCAAACAAATTGTCTGGAGAGATACCAATTTTCATGTGTAATCTCAAACAGTTGTATGTACTGGATTTATCATATAATATGTTTGTGGGTAATATTCCTTCAACAATTGGAAATTGCAGAAATTTAGAATATCTACACATTTCACATAACAACCTTTCTGGAGCTATCCCATTACAAGTGTTTGGAATTTCCTCTTTATCGATTAGATTGGATGTATCACATAACTTATTAAGTGGTAGTCTTCCAGCAGAGGTAGGCATGCTAAAAAACATTGAAAATTTGGATGTGTCTAACAATTATTTCTCTGGTGACATTCCTGAAACAATTGAAGGATGCATATCCTTGGAGTATCTTTGTTTACAAGGGAATTTCTTCCATGGAAGCATGCCGAATTCATTGGCTTCATTGAAAGGTCTTCGACTATTAGACCTGTCAAGAAACAATTTGTCTGGATCAATTCCAGAGGGGCTACAAAACATTTCTACTTTAGAATACTTCAATGCTTCCTTCAACAAGTTGGAAGGTGAGGTACCAACAAATGGTGTCTTTCGAAATGCTAGTGCAATATCAGTGTATGGCAATGGAAAACTTTGTGGTGGTGTGTTTGAACTAAAGCTTCCACCTTGCCCATCACCCTTAAAAGCTATGAGAAGGAAAAAACACCATAATCTCAAGCTAATAGTGATGATAGCTTGTTTGATTGTATTTTTTCTTACACTTTCATGTAGCATTACTATATATCTGATAAGGAAAAGGTACAGAAAAACATCTGCCAATTCCACAATTGATCAATTTCCTAAGGTATCATACCAAAATTTACACCAAGCAACTGAAGGGTTCTCAGCTAGAAACTTGATTGGAACAGGAAGTCATGGTTCTGTATATAAAGGAAGTCTGCATTCAGAAGAAAGATTTGTTGCTATAAAGGTTCTAAACCTTGGAAAGAAAGGAGCTCATAAGAGTTTCATTGCCGAATGTAATGCATTAAAAAATACTCGGCATAGAAATCTGGTGAAGATTGTCACTTGTTGCTCTAGTATGGATTACAATGGAAATGATTTTAAAGCTTTGGTTTTTGAATACATGTCAAATGGAAGCCTAGAGGAATGGTTGCATCCAGAGAATGGAAATGCTAAATGGCCAAGGACATTATCCCTTGAGGCAAGATTGGAAATTATTGATGGAGTTGCTTCAGCACTACATTATCTTCACTATGAATGTGAGGAACCAATTATTCATTGTGACTTAAAACCAAGCAATATTCTCCTTGATGATGACATGGTTGCTCATGTGAGTGATTTTGGCTTAGCAAGGCTTCTCTCAACAATTGATAGTGACCTTCACAACCAAACTAGTACGAGTGGAATAAAAGGGACGATAGGTTATGCTCCCCCAGGTATGATTTAATCTAATTTTTATTTCCTTTTAGATTAATGTTATATGGATTAAAGCATTAATGGTTTCAAAACATATTTCAGAGTATGGAGCAAGTTCTCAATTGTCAACAAAAGGGGACTTGTATAGCTTTGGTATTCTTGTTCTGGAAATGTTAACTGGGAGAAGACCAATAGAGGAAATGTTTAAAGATGAGTATAACATTCATAACTATATAAAAACTGCATTTCCAAATAACATCTTGGAGATTGTTGATGCAAAGCTTCTTCTCTCAATGGAAAATGAATATCCTACAATAGCAGGAAAACAAAAAAAAAACCTCTCCAACATTGCAGACATTTTGCATCCCAAAGCTGAGAAGTGCTTACTTTCACTATTTAAGATTGGTCTTGCTTGCTCAATACACTCACCAGGAGAAAGAATGAATATGATAGAAGTCACCAAGGAGCTAAATATAATTAGAAATGCTTTCAATGGTTGATGGATCAAAGGTAATTACAAAACTACAAAGTAATAAAGGTTATCATAGTTCTAACCCTTTCTCTTTTATAAAACAGTTCCAACCCTTTCAATTTATACAATTGTAGTTTCAGAATTCATGTCGAAAACTTTCAACTGTTATTTCATTAGTTCTTATAATGTTTTTTAAAATAGAAGTATGATTTCATTTGCATGTGTATTTTGTTGGTCTACCTCATTTATGCTATTTAAATAACAACATAACATGGACCTTCTACATGCTTTAACCAATAGGTTTTTTCTTAAAGTGTGGCTGAGGATACTCAATAAATAAATCAATACATGATAATAATCTATTAAAAATTATAACATTTAATATTAATGTATTAGATCTTGTATTACTATGTTATTTTTAATAAAAAATTTGTTATACGTAAATTCTTATTACATGGTATGATACAAAATTCATTTAACCAAAAAGACTATTGTTGTTTCCTAAATTTCAGGTTGTTCGACACTGATTGTGATTGTCAGGTAAATAAATATGACAATCGTACGAAGAAACCTCGTCCCTATTTAAGGAGCATTAGTTATTTGAAAACATGTTTGGAATCTTGGTGTTTCTTTTTTGTACTTTATTTAGTTAAACTAAATTATCGTTTCTTTTATGGGTTTGGATTATTTGCATGCAACAATGGTATGCCACCTTTTTACTCGTTGATTATGTAAGTTGTGACAATGCACTTCAAATAATGTGTAATGTTTAGTCAGCGATACTGCCAATGAAAGTAGTCTACTTCTTGCCTCCGTGCAGGCATACTAGTTTCATGAAATTTCTTCTTTTGATTTTTTTATGATAAAGTACATTTTTTTAGCATAAACAACTCTTTAGTTTTGAGCATTTTTATTTTATCTATACAGTCAGAAATTTCTAAAAATTAATACGAGATTACTTCCAATAAAAGATAATTGCGATTAAAAAAAATTAAGTATAAAAAATAATTATTTGAATTACTTATAAAAAATCTATAATACTTAGAAATTGTTTGTTTTCTGTTTCTAAAAGCAGTTTTTCTTTTTAAAAGTAAAATCAAAATAAAATATGTTTGTTAATCTAAATTTTATTTTCATTTTCTTCTTAAAATTAATTTTTTTAAATTGTTTAAAATATAATTTTTAAAAATTAAAAACCAAACAGAAACAAACAAGCTCTTCATATTCTAATTTTAATTATTTTTTGTGTTCATCTAAGCATCATATTTTTTTCTTTTTCATTTTAAAAAAGATCGAGTTGTTACAGTAATTGAATTTATATAAAATCACTCTAACTTGACATCAAGTGTAGGCTACATCTTTATTCTAACTAACTTTAAGCCTACGCTCAGTATAATTAACCAAGAAAATGATAAAAAATTAAGATAATTTCCACTTTATGCAGTGTTGAAGAAAACAATAAGGGGTTACAATAAAATGAAATGAGTAGAGAAAGTGTTTAACATAATGAAATGTAAAATTGTTGCATTATTAAAGAAAAATAAGTGGTCATAAGCAAGAGCTTTATAGATTCACCCGATTTTGGCTCTCTTGGATATTCCTCAGCTGTCATAGACATCACTGATTCTGATCTTTCCAAAAACAACCCACACAGAAGATACACACATATATTAATGATAGAGTGGTGGTATATGATACCTACTAATGACCTGATTCTGGTATTAGTTTCTTCACTTGATACCATGGAAACATCTCTAGAAACGTAAATGGTATCAATGTTGATTTTAAGAGTTTAGAAAAAAGAAACTATAGCATATAACATCCTATGATATCATATTATATTAATATTAAATTATATAAATTAACATTATTTAATATGATTTCAGATAATATGTTAGAAATATCATTGTAGAATAATATAAAATAAAATAAATCTCAACATAAAATGATAAAAAATTATATTTTAAATACATTTTATGTGCATGCAAGTGTATCTATTGCAAGTATACCTGCAGGTATTGTCAATTACAAAATTAATAAAAAAAAATATAAAACTTAAACTATTAAATTAACCAAATAAATTAATAAATTTACATAAATTTGTAAAAATAAATATTAATCTAGTAAGCACCTGAAAATTATTTTGATTGGTTAAAATCATTTAGCAATAAGTAGATGTATGGCCTACATACTTTAAAACACTATTGCTTGCATAAATTGTTACCAAGTTCAAATGTGTAATTGTTGAGACAACATGGCTAGAGTATTCATCCTTGTCATCACCGATACAAATGACATTGTTAATTCAAGACACTAGAAAAACATGCCTACAAATACCTAATATTTGCAAAGATAAGTATCTGACAAGTTCATGTGACTAGAGTATCTCCAGACCATATTAACAATGTGATATTTATGTTCATCGATTATTTACTTAATATTCACTTCGTGATATGACTTAAAAAGCACCACCTTAACTCTTCAACGCCAATGTTGTTTCCTGTAAAAGTATAGTAAAGTTAAATAATTTGCCATTGCTAGTTCTTAAATAAATGAAATCACGACTCAATCTTAAAGTACTTATAGGCAAATAGCAACTAATAGTTAAATCAGGTCAATAAACTTATATAATAATAGAAAAATATAATCTTTCCTAGGAAGCACTTTATAATTAAAATTTAAATGAGAATCTCAAAAACTATACTGCTATTTTCTTTATGTCTTGTTGCCATTTTCAGTCTTATAGCAACAGTGCTCAGTGCTTGATTGACACCTTTGTTGAATTGAAAAATGTAGAATGACACTTAAATTATAAGCAGCAAGTAACAAATAACATTCAATAGATTGAGAGGGGCTTTGCATGCTTAACATTCTAAACTAATAACCCAATTTGCTAATGGCTTAAACATTGTTAACCTGATCAATAATTGGTAAGAATCTAAGAAATAATATAAACCACATCAATAGACAAAGTAACCGGTTAAATAACATAAATATGAATTATTAGCTTTTTTACCTAGGAGCAAAAATCAATGTGGGACTAATCATTGTGTATCGAAAGAACAATACATGATAGAAGAAAAAAGGACAAATAATGGAGAATGAGAAGGAAAAGAAATTGCATTAATTTTATTTCTAAACCTTGCATATAGATATATAAATTATTTGTAAAATTAAATTTACCAATTTCTCAGATCATTTACCAAGTAATGAAATATATATTTGTATATATAGATATCTGTTAGGGTTCAGAAGTGAAATCAATGAAACGATTGGAGAAAAATGATGGTTTTATTGATTACTTAAAAAGAATTTGGATTACAAATAATCTCTCTGAGCTAATAGCTCTTGAACAGAGAATGAAATTCTCCCCAATGAAAAGCTAGCTCATTTGGTGGGGTTTGTCTAATGGCAACAATACAAAAACTACTTCCTAATTATCAAACTAAGCTACAAGTTTGATATCACAAAGAAAAAGAAAAGAAATACCACTCAGAATTTTATTTCATGTAACAGTTCAGATAACATGTTTCAAACAAAAGGATCATTGATCAGTTTTAAAATTTTGTGCAGTAGTTAAATTCATGCTACTGTCCGAAACATTGATAGCCAAAATTTGATACTACAACAAAAATGTTAGCAGAATTAAAATCAATAATTTTGGTTTCTATTTACCTGAGAAAGAAAGCAACAGAAACAAGTCACTGGATCTGGCTTCAAGCATTTACCTGAAAAACAAGCTAGAGAAATAAAAATCAGATTAAGGTAGATGAGAAATCTAACAGAAAGATAAGAGAAGATCAAGAGAGATAAAATCCTAAATCTAACAAGGAAACAATAGAAAATGGAAAGAGAGATGAAACCTAGATCTAACAAAGAGGAGATTGAGAGAGAGAAGAAAATGTAGAGGATGAGGGAGATAGATGAACTGAACAAAGAACACGCACAAGAGAAAGAACAAATGAAAGAGACACAAACATGAAAGAGAACATGCTAGAGAAAGACACAAGAACGCAATGGTGACAAAGGAATGAGAGAATGTAAGTTGCTAGTGAGTAATTCCAAATTCTCACTATTTACATGGAAGTTTTTAAATTTTGTAGTATTTTAGAATTCCTTATCAAATTTCTTAAAATTCAATATCCAAACAGAATATTTTAATTGATAGAATTATAAATTTTTTCAACAATTAAATTACTCACGTTAAATATCTCTCATCCAAAGACAACATTAAGGTTTAGCCAATCTGACACAATTCCTACTTCTTCAAAAGTCAGTTTTTACTGCAAAATATTAACAAAGTGAGGATATTGAAAGCTTCAAACTAAGTAAAACAGTTTGGGTTAGAAGCAAACCTGGAAGACATTTTGCTGTTCTCATTCATGGACTAGCCATAGTTTCAAATGGGGCATTGTCTACCATGAAGCTGAATTTTCCACTCGCATCTCTTTACCATAAAATGGCAACAACTAAATGCCAGTGACATCAAACTCGATGATTGTTGCATTACTAATCTCTGTCCTAGCAAAACATTTATTTGATTTATTTAAGTTATTGTTTGTTAAATATACTGGAGTATGTCTGCTTGTAGGCTCACAGTTCTCACTCTCCTTATTCACATCATTCACATGTGCATCCAATTGAGACAGAAAAATTTCTCCAAATCACACCCTTGAATAATACTTGCATATATACACAATACAACATCTCACCAAGATTAACAGAAATATACACCATTCATATGTCAATGGAAAAAAAACCCAGATCCAAGCAGGCATAAAATAGATACCTGATCAAAATCAGAGACTGAACAAGATCGTCTCCTAGCATATGCATACAGCAATCCAAAATGAAACCAATTGATCTTGATAATTTTGGCTATTTAACCTGAGATATAAAAGCAAATAAGGAATGGAATATAACTAACTTAATGAAAGACAATAAAGAACTTAGTGTACCATGACATCACACTCTTGAAATCAAACACTATCACGTAACAAATAATTGTAGCTCTGGATGAACAGTATTCAGTTTCATCAAGAGCTCATTGCATGTAATGCTTGTTCCTTTTAATGTATTTTGTGAAAATTTTGGAAGAATCTTCTCTACGTCAAGATTTCTTGACATGTTACAAAGGCAAGCTAAGATGGTAGAAGTTAATTTTGAGTCCAGAACAACACCCTTATCGGCCATTTCATGAAGCAAGGAAATGATTTTTTTTGTCTGTCCCTTTAAACCATAGCCCTTTAGCAAAGAATCAAATATGACAGCATCGGGTACATGACCATAGGAGATCATTCTATCATAAAGAGAGCTGGCCTCATCCAACTGCCCAAGTTTTGAGAACCTGTTTATTAATATAGAAAATGTTACAGCGTCAGGGACCAAATCCATGTTAAGCATCTCCGATAGCAATTCCTTGGCAGTTTCAATGTCTCCTGCTCTGAGGGTTCCATCAATTAATATATTAAAGGAGACAACATCACCATTGAGATTCGTACTTCTCATTTCTTGAAATAGACTCCTAGCCTGCTCCAAACTGCCTTCCCGGCACAAGGATGCCATTAGTGCATTGTAATCAAGTACTGTAGGTCTAATCCCAGAAGCTTTTATTTTAATAAAAAGTCCTCTTGCAATACTCAGCATCTGCATTTTGCACAGACCATTAATCATGAGACTATAGGTCATTGCATTAGGAGAAAATCCATTGTCCACAGCATGTTTCCAGAGTTCCAATGCCTTAACAAGTTTTCCAACGTTTAGATAACCACTGATCAAAGTATTATAAGTCACCATGTTACCTAGCAGTCCCTTTTCAACCATTGAAGAATGTATCCTTCTCGCATCACGAAGACGTCCTTTCTTGCAAAGTCCCTGAATTAAAAAATTTGATGTATAGACATCAGGCTTCATATGGAACTTCTTGCTCAACAACAGCTTCCACAGGTTCATTGCCTCATCAATTTTGCCAGACCCACATAGCCCTTTCATTAACGTGTTGTAGGTAACCACATCAGGCTTCTTCCCCTTCTTTGCCATCATTTCCACAATGCCAAGCCCATCATCCACGCGACCTTCCCTACAAAGTCCATTAACAATAACATTGTACGTAAAAGTACTTGGCTCTTCCCCCTTTTGCAGCATCAAATCCAACACTTTTACCCCATCAGACGCCCTCCCACTTTTGCAAAGACCATTAGCCAAAACAGTGTAAGTAATAACATCAGGACGAATCCCACGAGCTGTCATATCATTCAACATATCAGACGCTTCTCGCCACTTCCCATCCTTGCAAAGAGCCTGCATCAAACAGCTATAAGTAACCGCATTCGGATCAACCTTCTTCCTTAGCATCTCATCAAGGAGTAGTTTCCCCCTCTCAACATCACCTTTGCCACAAAATCCACTAACAAGAGCACTATACACAAACACATCAGCATCCAAACCCCCATTCTCCATCTCCTCCAACAAACCCAACCCCTTCTCAACTTCACCATTCTTACAAAACCCATCAATCAAAGCACTAAAAGTCACCAAATTGGGCCTACAATCCCCAACCTTCATAGCCTCAAACAAATCCCTAGCTTCCACTAGTCTCTTAGCTTTACATAATCCACTTATAAGGGTATTGTAACTAACACTATCAGGAACAACATAATCAGGATTCCTCTTCATCTGGGAAAACAAACACAAGGCCTTGTCACAATCACCACTACGACAAAAACCCTTTAACACAAGGTTCGAATTATAAACGTTAACCCCAAAACCACGCTTTATCATCAAGCCCAGGACCCCAAAAGCAAAACTTGGATGATGGGTGTTGACTAAAGTTTCGATTAAAGCACTAAGAGAAGTGAACATGGGCAAAACGCACGTAGCGACCATCTTACGATAAACCGACAAGAGGGTGTCGTAGTGTCGTGATTTCCGCAGGTTGTCTATGAGGGAGTCGCAGGATGGTTCTGAGGGCAGTGAAGAAGGGTTGTGGATGGTGCGGTGAAAGAGGGAAACACTAGTGGGAGCTGAATGCAGGGGTCGATGAGGGCTAAGGAGGCGCTTTGGTATCATTTTTCAATTGGGGGTAGGATTTGTTCTGTTCTATGTTTGCAACGTAACACGATTTCTTCTGTTCTTTTCTCTGTTTGCAAGTTTGAGAGTTCAACTTGAAGGGGGCAACGTTGTGATTCCGAGGGAATTCACCCTTTCTCTTCTATAAATGCTATTGTACAATACAAAAATATAAAATTAAATTTTTTTCAGGAAATATAATAATATTTCTTTTTTCGATTTTTAGTGAAATTTAATATAATTTTAATAAAATAATATTTTTAATTTCTAAACTAATGTTCAAAAATTCTAGTACCAGTGTACATGACTTTTTTTTCTTTTTAAAATGGCTTTTTTTACTGTAAAATATAATTTAAAAAATTCTTCGTAAAAAAAAATATACTTAAAAAATTATGCGAGTGAGTTTTAACTGGTAATTGGTTTTTGAAAAATTTATTTTTTAATAAATAATGGTTAAAAAAAACAGAGGTGCACAGGACTCACTTCTCTCACCAACCTATCTTAACTCAGTATTAAAAGTTTTATTTTTGGTTTTTTGGTTAATATAAAATTATTTTTAATATAAACTGCTTTTTGTTATTTTCTTTATCACCATACGAACGAGTAAAATATTTTTTTTCCTCTTTTTTCTCAGTTATTCCTATCTATCCAAATAATACATTTTGTCTATCAACTTTTTCATCTATTTCTTTCTACTATTTTCATTTTTATTTATTTATCATTTCATCCAAATACAGCATTAGTTTAGTCTCGGTATTTTAAAACGATAGATAACGATCTTATAAGAATTTGTATAACTAAAGTAAACCTTTACGTCACTTTAATAATCATTTTTCTTATAGAAAAGAAAAAACTGCGTGGCGTTGGGGTATTTATTTTGAGTTAATGAATCTCTGCTAAGCTGGACTCATGCTGGTTTATCTTGTACCTTTTAGCCTTTTGGAGAAGACTCTGTAGCCTGCATTTATTTGGCACATAAGTAGCAATATTTTTATGCCATTTGTCCTCTTGAAATAACTTTTATATATAATATGTGGATGAATTTGGATCATTTCTGGAGTGATCCTAGGTTTAGAGAATGTTTGTTAGCATCATCCCTTCCAGCAATTCCTTAGGGTCCAATAAGAGTTCATGTTCAATCTTGTTTTGTCCTATGTCAATTGGTGCACCAAATGTCAAGTTTAGCCGGCTTTTCATAATTCATTTCTAATGATATTGGCCTTAGTTTTGTCCTTTGTGTCATATGTTCACCATAAAATCAAAAGAACTTATGTTGGAAATTTATTTACATTATACATGTTCTTGAAATCCTTATAGACAACATGTTATCTGAAATTACTGAGGAGACAGATGAAGAGAACCACTGGTTTATCAACAATGAAGAACAGAAGAAAAAGATCAGGAAGATTATACAATACCAAAAATCTCTATATAAGTCAGCATCTTCTTTGTCATCATCTTCAGCTGCATCCTCATCATCCTTCTCCTCATCCCATAAATCATGCAGTTTGTTAGAGTTGATGAAAGGAGGAAGCACATCTATGAGGAGATTATTTGACATGGAGCATACAAGTTTGGCAACCCATTTTGACTCTTATAGTGGCTCACCTATAATCAAGCCTATATCTTTGTGGGACAGTGACTCAGAGAGAGAATTCCAGGACCCTTGGGCCTTGATCAAGCAAATTGAATCCACCAATTTTGTTGGAATTTGCAGAGAAAGTGAGTTAGCCTCAAAGGGTAGTTATGTGGATGAAGATTTTGGCTCTCAGAATAGAAATGTCACTAGTGGCAAGCGCAAATTGACTAGGAAAAAGTCTTTTAGGAGATTGCCAGGATTTGGCTTGTGGAGATGCGGAAGATTTAAATTCCCTTTGAAATTTAGAACGCTTAAAGTTAGAATTTGCTGTAGAATATTCAGATAGAGCCATTCAGTTTGCATTGAATTTTGAACATCATTGGAAATTAGGAATGATCAAGTGGATAAACTAATGAAAGCGTATTCCTTGACAACATGTTATGTGATTTACACCAAGTTTTCCTATACACAGAAGAAAAAAAAAAGCACTGGTACTCAAGGCTTGGTTGGTGAAACCTACAATTTTACCTAAGAACTACAGAGATTTGCAAAAGACACAATGATCAGATACAAGTCTTGCTATTACACTTCCTTCTTCAATCTTCAATCTTCCACTCTCTCTGTTCCATAGATGAACCCCATGAGTCTCACCACTACTAAGCTGAAGTAGTTTGGCTTCAACCCATTTTGATTCACCTTGAGTTTTGGGCTTCTTAAAGAAACCAACAATCCTAATCCAATCTGTAGGATAAAAGGCCATAGGAGGCAAGATTGAAAAGTTGAAACCTGGCCTCTTCCCTAGTCTCTCAACCACTCTAGAAACCATGTAAGGACCATTATGCCCCCATTTGTTCCCATCAAAAGTCAACGCAAATTCATTGATGAATCTGAGAAGAAGTGGATGATTCATATCAAATATCAAAACTGCATTATTCAATCTAGTCCAGTGCTTATTACCCACATCCATGCTTTGTGCTCCAATAGAATTCCTCAACCCAGTTAAAGGTTTCAATACTATAAAATCTGTGTCTAAGTAAACACCACCATACTTGTACAAAACTGCAAGTCTTACCAAGTTAGACAGGTTCTGGAACAAAGAAATCTCACCAGGGTCCCTTTTCCCTTTCCTTAACTCATGAAACCATGCTTCAGCTTGAGTCCCCTTGAGCAAAAATGGCAAATCTGGGGTCAGTCCCTGAACCCTAAACCCCCCATCAAGAAATGGCTTCAGGATCCTTAAGCCATGAATAGAGTCCAAAGTCCTTGATAGAATCACCAAGCATGCATTAGGATGCACCTTGAAAAGACTCTCTAAAGACAACAATTCTCTTGATCCAAATGAGCTTGCAGGGGAAAACCAAGTCATGAAAAATTGAGACTCACATTCTTGGCTGAAAAATCCCATAACCCGAGCATGGAATTGCCTACTCAATTTATCTGACTTGAGAATCTTGAACTCATGAAGATTCCCTCTAAACCAAGCAATTCTTTTTTCTTCAGTAACATTGAATGGAGCAACTAGTACTCGATGATCATTTCCTTGATCAACTCCCTCCTTCTCTTCTTGCATGGAACGTAAAGGTATGCGGGTAAGAGCATGTGTTGACCTTAACCCTTCTCCATTTATGTGACTTTGAGCTTGCAACACTTCTAGTGCTCCTTTATTTGCAAAAGGGTGTTGGGAATCATGGTAGATAATGCCATCACAGTGGATGAGAAAAATTATGGCTGAGAATGTGATTAGAGAGAAAATATATATCTTGGCACGTTTAAGCACCCTGTAATCAAACATTCTCTTTCAAGTTCTAGTTCTGTTCTGTGATGAGAATTGCAATAGGAAAGAACTTATAACCGAAGAAACAAAGTCTTTAGTGTAACTCTCACGTTGGGGAAAACTTGGACCTATAGTCCTGTACACATAGAATGTACAAATCAAATTGAAGATCGAATAATATTATTGAATAAGGTTATGCACACCTCAATTTTGGAGTGTTGGGTTGGAAAGAAAAGAGAGAAAAATAAAATGGAATGCGATAAATATTGTAACGTCACATAGATAGATAGATACAATAATATTTTGTTTATTTGCTGGTGAAATTTTGTGGACAGAATCAAGTTTTGGTCCTTATTTGAAGCATTCAAAGTGTTGAGGTGAATGTCAAATTTCGACCAACACGATAGCCGCCAAAGACATACGCGGGGTTATGAATGAGATGCCTTATATTTTATTATATAGATTTCTTCTACACTTTATGCAGTAAAATGTTCTATAAATTTTGAGATTAGGTAATCGCAATCTTGTCGATTATTTTAATGAAACCAAGCTTTTGGTATCACTGGCTACGATCAGAAAAATCTCTCTCCTAAATTATAAGAGTTTTTATAACGTAATATCATTCTCATAATCTCTTTTGTGCACAATACTTTTTTAAAGTCCATTTTTTTATTTCTCTATCACATTACCTATCTTATCTTACATTTATATCTTTTATATATATATTTTTATCTCCCCTTATTTTTATAAATTATTGTGAGAATATTATTATTCAAAAATTAAAAGCAGTGTTGTGAACTTCAATTTTGCATTTGACGGTTATTACAGCATGCATCCAGCTGAATAATCACCGATGATGCAGAAGCATTGTTGATTAACAAATATGGTATTAGCAGGAACTACTTTGGCATGTTTAATAAAAAATTATATTATTATTATTATTATTATGAATCTTATATCTTGGAAGATGAGATGTCTCTGTCATTAAGACTACGATTCAATTAACATATCGTAAGAAATATCACTACTTTCCCATTGCATGCTGCATGTGACAAATTTATTATTCATAAGTATTACCAATAACAATAGGGTTGTTATTAGTCATTGAAATGAGATCTTAAAAATCCTTTTCTGCTAAGTATTAGTCTTGTCCAAAGTATTTATATTAACAAATATACAGTGCATTGTTTGGATATTTTATAAATATAGATAAGATATTAGATGTATATCAAAAGTATTCAAGAAAATTTTGGTTTTATAAATGAAAGATATTTTATTGATTATAAAAATATAAAAGTATAAGAAAAATTTTGACTTTTCTTAAAAAAAAAAGCTAATTTTCTTACAAGATTAAAAAAATTTGCATTATCTCATTAAAAACTAATTTAATAATTTTTTTTCAAAGAAATCAATATAATTGATAAAAGATTATTTTAGTAGTGATTTGAAATTATCATAGTATGTATAATTTTAATAAAATAAATTTAAGTATTAAGTAAAGAAATTATAAAAAATGAAACTCTCTTTTAATTGAATAACTAATTGAAGGGGAAAAAAATATTAATTTGACTTAATATACAAACATATACAGAAGACATGTCACAACATAAAAAGATACAAGACTATATAAACGTACACTTAAACATTATCTCACTTTAGAAAATAACAAGTGAAATTTATTATATATGGATAAATTGGTTGAAATGCTAATGTAATATTCTATAGACTCAATAAGCAGCTCACTCTGCGCTAACTAGATTTAGGTTCGATCAGACCAAATTAATTAGACTTAGAAAATTGTTAGGTCAACTTAACCATATACGAGTTATGAAATAGTTAGCTCACCTATTGAGTCACTTTTTAAATTATATTGTTATAGTTTTTTTTTTTATATAAATTACAAATATTTGAAAAGAAATTTATTCAAGTATTTATTGAAATTCAAATTAAAGATATATAATAAAGAATTTTTTTATCAATTAATCTACATGCTTAGTAATAATTATATTATTGTAGAATAAACATTTTAATTTTAAATGTTTCTTATATATATATATATATATAATTTTAAATAATTCATTTAATTACTTGTATTAAAACACTTAATTAATATAAATATTGAAATGTTTCAAATTAGCTGTAATTTAAAATAGATTAGATGTTTGTTTTAAAAAACAATAATTGAATAAATTTAAAAATAAAGTTAAAAATTTAAATATCAAGTACTTAATTTTGATATCATTTCAAGTTTATATAGATATGGATCCAGTTAACAATGTCACAACCAGCTCACATCAAGCACGAGTCAATTCTTCAAGTCAAAATAAATTTTGACACTAACTTTGAAAATTAAGTTCACTACTTTTAGCGTATTGTTTTAGTTAAGAGTGTTTTAGAAGTAATTTTTTATTTTATTTTATTTTATCATTATTTTATCTATCTATTAATTTTATTACTATTTTTTTTTTTTTTTGCGTTATGTGCTGTTAGTACATTTTTTTATATTTTTGCTCAAACAAATTTTTTTCGACAAATGTGAAAAATGCATTAACTATAGAATATAGTTAGTGTAAAGGTTACCCGTCTCAATTTTATTGCCAAATTAAACTTTATCTGATCCAATATAAAGTTGTTTGGATTTGATGAATTTGCTTCAACTTTTTCATAGCTATAAGAGAATAGGAAATTAATTTTATTTATCTATTTTGCACATTTTTTGTTAAATTTTTATAACATAAAATAAAAATATTATATAATAAAAACATAATAACAAATTTTAAATTCATCCAAAAATTAGAAAACTTATACATGCATTCCAGTAATAAGATCAAATTCAAAAAATAAGACCAAACAAGAAATAACCAAGTATTTAAATTATAATATAATTATTTCTTGAACAGGTGAAATTAAATTAAATTACATTAACATATAATTATAAAAATGCAATTACATTAATAGCAAAAAGAAATGCAATTACATTATATATATGTTGTGTATTAGGTATTAAATATTAAATCATTTTAAATTGATATAAAATTGTGTAAACATAGTTTGTATGATATGAATTTTTAATTTAACAGTTTATTTTAAATAAATTTTTCAATAAAATATTATTAAATAATATTAAAATAATATAATTTATATAAATATAATTTATTTTTTAATTTTTAAAATTATACTAAAATTTCAATTCAATTAAAACAAAATTAATTTTAACAGCCGTACTTCTCGCTAACTTGTTGGCACCTAACCTAAGTAATAGAGAGGAAGGCTATTGCAAATCGTATTATTCATATTAAAGAGACGATGCCTTATATATTTCGTGCGGTGCAGTTTATTAAAAATGTAATATTATTAAACATTCACCATTTATTAAATAATAATATTATATAATGTTTTTATTTACGTTTGTAAAAAATTGGTTTTATAATATTCTTTCATCCTATTACTTTGATTGTATATGATTTTGGTTTCTCACTTTTTTTATTAATTAAACCTTCTTATTTTAAAATTTTCATAAGATTTAGCATTTTTGTCCATATTTCTTAACTATAAATTTTAAATTATTATTTTTTACTCAATTTTTTTACAAATTAAATTGTTAAATTATTTTATATTAAAAATGTACCAATTAAAATATTAATTTACCAAAAATAAAAATATCTCAAAAAATATTCTTAAAAAATATTATAGTTCAATTTTGATCGAGTTTTAAGTAAAAATAATCCAATCTTACCATAGTTTAGGTTGAATTGAATGATTCTATTTTTATATCTTTATTATTAATATAAAAATAATATTAAATAAATTAAAAATATAAAATAATCACAACAAGTATAATTAAATATTAGGTCGTGTTTAGAAAAATTAACGAAAAATTAATAAAAAATTAAAAGGTTAGCTAATTAAATTAACGGTTTTATTGACTTACGTTTTCAAAGTTAAATTTATATATATATATATATATATATATATATATATATTTAATACTTCTTTTTTTAATAAAATTTTACTATTATTAATTTTTTATTCTCAATTCTATATTAACAAAATTCTTTTGTAATACAATTAATTTATTTAAAAGAAAAAATTTAATTTAATAATTAAACTGGTAAAAATTAACATTCATAAAAAATTATTAAAAAAGTAACTTGAGTCATCTATATAAAGACCGAGTCTATTGACACTAATCAGAACACTTACATTTTTTAATTTATTTTTTATAATACAAGAGTGATTAATTTAATATTTAAATCATTTCATGTTATCACCGATCGTGTATATCAATTTCACACAATTCAAATATTAAATATATTAAAATATAGTATACAATACAATATATATTAATTTTATTTTTTTAATAAAATTTTACAAAATTAACTTATTTGATAAAAATCTTTAGATTTGATTGGTTAATTTTAAATTCTTTAAAAAATTATTTAATAACGTAATTATTAAAGTTTGATATATATATATATATAATGACTTGTAAGAAAAAGATATATTAATGAAATTAATAAACGTCGAATAAAATTTTCTTTCGTCTGAAGCTAAATATTTGGTATTGTAAATAAAAATTATCTGCAATTACATTGTTTTAATATACATCAATAATTAGAGACAGAAGAGGGAAGGGAAGGGAAGAGAAAAGAAACACATTTTCTTGCATGGATGAAGATCTTAACTCTAATTCATACGTAACCTGCAACATTAAGTAATTGACAAAAACATGATAGTGTTCTTTATTTTCTTTCCAAAGAGTAACCCCCTTTTCTTCTACCTATTATCTATTATTAAATCACATTTCACGCTATGAGTAAACACACTAAACAAAAACTTAACCCATTTATTTCAAAGTAAAAAATGAGTTCCATCACTTTGGTCAAAATTTCTCTCACATTAGTGAGACAGTGGCATAACATGATTAAAGTTTGCAAACTTTACACTTCTTAGAATGAAAAGTAGACAAGTTAAATTATTTAATCCAAAACTAGTCATTCCCTTGGAATCATATCTCATGTTTCTCAGTCCAAATACTAACTAGATTGGGCTTTCGGAGACAAGTGTAATTTTATTTAAAACAATTATTTTGGGCCTTTTAAGAACTTATCCTTGATCCACTTAATATATTTATATTTAACTAAGTTATTTATGTTAAATTAATATTTATTTTCTTATTCAGAAGTATAGTAGGCAAAAATATATTAATTATCCTTGATACTCAGCATGCAATTTTAAGGATAGTTAGATACTTTTAAAAAAATCTTCTATGATTTTTTTGAACTTGTTTAAATTGATTTATTTTTTATTTATGTTAATTTTCTAATTTGAAATGTACTTGACAGAAAATCCTTCTCTTTAAATATTGAAGCTAACAACTAGCTCCCAATTTAAAATTTCTTTCAAGTAAGAAATGCCACAAAAACACGTACAAATGTACAATTTAAGAGGACCATAAAAATATCTTTTAATAATATCTTTTTTATATATAAAAAAACCTCATTTAATAAATAAGAAATCAAGTTTTAGAAATTAAAAACTTAGGATATATTTGATTTCTCTTTTAAAAAGAGTTTTCAATTTTTTTAAATATAGTATAAATTTATATTATATTTAAAAAAATTAAAAACTCTTTTAAAAATAGAAAATAAACATACCCTTAGTTACACCAAAAGGGCTAAGTCAGTTAAAATTAGTAAGCTGTCATGTAATACTACATCAATTTTTTTATATATAAATTTATTAATATATATCTTTTCCTGTTCTAAATTTTAAATAATATTTCTATGCTACTAGATATTATAAATTAAATTTACATAAAAATGAATACGTCAAGTTATTTTCTTACCTAAAATACAGCTCAGAATCATAAATTAGTATCTGGAGAGGAGATTGCGCAGTCATCTTCCGAAAATAAATGTAAAGAGCCTAAGCATTCTTTTGTCAAAATAAGATTGGACCTTATCACCTGTTACGCAAATCTTTTGATATTTTTCCTTTCAAATATCAATTTCTTTTTTATAACATTATGCCTTTAAAATAGAATCGAACCTCAACCATTTTAGAGTTGGAAAAAATAAAAAACTTTGCAATTAAAATATGAACCATCCTTGTGTAATCTCTAAGAGTCTATTGTTACAAATCCTTTGTGGATATCTTCTACTACGCATAATCTTAATCATGGACTCAGCAATAGCATCAACCCCAACAGGAAATGAAACTGATCTAGAAGCTTTACTTGATTTCAAGAGTAGGATAGTTGAAGATCCATTCAAGATTATGAGTATTTGGAATGATTCTACCCATCATTGCAATTGGATAGGAATCACTTGCAACATCTCAAATGGAAGGGTCACGTACTTGAGGCTTGAACAATTGAGATTAGGAGGCACTCTTACACCATTCATTGGAAACCTCACATACCTCACCATACTCAACTTGTTAAATAATAGCTTCCATGGTGAATTTCCTCAAGAAGTGGGTCGGTTACTTCACTTGCAACATCTAAACTTTAGCTTTAACAACTTTGGTGGGAGCATTCCAAGTAATCTTAGTCACTGCACAGAACTAAGGGTATTGGCTGCAGCTGCTAACAATCTTACAGGAACAATTCCAACTTGGATAAGGAATCTTTCTTCTTTGTCTAGAATTTCCTTTGGCTTGAACAATTTTCATGGAAGCATACCACATGAGGTAGGCCTTTTATCAAGCTTGACTGCACTTGTCCTATATGGGAATTTTTTGACTGGCACAGTTCCTTATTCAATCTATAACATTTCTTCATTGTACTACTTCACTTTTACTCAAAATCATCTTCATGGAAACTTACCAGCTAATATTGGATTTACTCTTCCAAACCTTCAAGTATTTGCTGGTGCTGTCAACAATCTCACAGGGAATGTTCCTGCATCATTGTTGAATGCATCAAAACTACAAATTCTTGACCTCTCTTTGAATAGTCTCACTGGAACACTGCCTAAGAACATAGGGGTCTTGAACAGGTTAACTAGACTTAGCTTTGAGTACAATAGACTTGGAACTGGGAAAACAGAAGACCTGAGCTTTCTTGATTCTTTGGTTAACTGCACAGCTCTTCAAGTTTTACGTCTAGGCAGAAATGGTTTTGGTGGAGTGTTGCCTCAATCAATTGCTAATTTCTCAAGACAATTGCACACATTTGTCATTAATTCAATTGGAATACATGGAAATATACCTTCTGGAATTGGCAATCTTGCTAACCTTGCTCTTATAGGATTGGAAGGAAACCGCCTAACCAGTAATCTTCCTGATACACTAGGTAAGCTGCAAAATCTGCAAGAATTGTATCTGAATGTCAACAAATTTTCAGGTAGAATTCCATCCACCTTAGGAAATTTATCTTTATTAATAAAACTCTTTTTGGAGGAGAACAACTTTGAGGGAAGCATACCTTCTAGTCTTGGAAAATGTAAGAAGTTATTGGTACTTAGCCTTTATAGTAACAAGCTTAGTGGCACCATACCAAAAGAAGTAATTAGCCTCTCTTCACTAGCAATATACTTGGATGTGTCTTATAATGCTTTATCAGGGACTCTACCAGGTGAAGTGAGTAGGCTACATAATCTTGGAGAGTTGGTGTTGTCTGAGAACAACTTTTCTGGAGTCATTCCATCTTCTCTTGGTAGCTGTATAAGTTTGGAAAGGCTGCAGTTGCAGGGTAATTCTTTTGAGGGGAGCATTCCTCAAACTTTAAAGAATTTGAGAGGCTTACTTTATATTGATCTTTCGCGCAATAACTTGTCGGGTAAGATACCGCAATTTCTTGGTGAGTTTACCGAGCTAAAACATCTCAATCTCTCTTCCAATAATTTTGAAGGTGAAATACCAAAGAATGGAATCTTCAAAAATGCAAGTTCCATTGCATTATATGGAAACAAAAAGCTATGTGGTGGTATCCCAGAACTAAATTTTCCTGCATGCACTATCAAGAAAGTCTCTTTGATTAGAAAACTTCTTGCCCCTAAGGTTGTTGTCCCAATAGCTAGTGCACTTATATTTGTACTATTTCTATCATGCTTTCTTACATTCTTCCCCATGGTAAAAAGAGCAAGAAAGAAAACTTCCACATCAACTACTGAAAAGGATTTGGCATTGGGAATTTCTTACTCAGAAATTATGCAGTGTACTGGTGGATTCTCACAGGATAACCTGATTGGCTCAGGAAGTTTTGGTTCTGTGTACAAAGGAACTCTTTCCAGTGATGGATCAAGTGTTGCAGTTAAAGTATTGAATCTTCAACAAAGAGGAGCTTCAAGGAGTTTCTTTGATGAATGCCACGTTTTGAGGAGTATAAGGCACCGCAACCTTCTCAAGATCATAACTGCCATCTCTAGTGTTGATCATCAAGGTAATGATTTCAAAGCTCTGGTGTTTGAGTTCATGCCTAATGGAAGCCTAGAAGATTGGTTGCATCCTATAGATAATGTGCATAATCGGACAAAGACACTGACATTTATCCAAAGACTGAACATAGCAACTGATGTTGCTTGTGCATTGGGATATCTCCATCACTTCTGTGAAACTCCAATTGTTCATTGTGACATAAAGCCAAGCAATGTACTTCTTGACAATGATATGGTGGCCCATGTTGGTGACTTTGGATTAGCTACATTTCTGTTTGAAGAATCAAGCAATACCAAACAATCAATTATATCAGCTAGCCTAAGGGGTTCTATTGGATACATCCCTCCAGGTATGCCATTCAAAATTTAAATAATGCTAACAGTTCCATGATTTGAATCAACTAAAAATTGACACTATATGTGACACTTTATACAATTACTTCTAGTTTTCTATTATTCTTTTTTATCTACATATTTACATGCTTCCTAAAAATATTCCTCAAAGCACAAAAAGGACACCTAAAGGTGTCTCTCTCCAAATTTACAAAAAACATTTCCATAATTCTAACAGTTCCTTTATTTAAACAACTAAAAATTGACACCATACGTGAAATACAGAGTATGGAATGGGTGGCAAGCCTTCTACACTTGGAGATATTTACAGTTATGGGATACTACTATTGGAGATTTTCACAGGAAAAAGACCAACATATGAAGCATTTGAAGGTGGCATGGGAATTCACCAGTTTGTAGCAATGGCTTTACCTAACCATGTCATGGATATAGTTGATCCTTCATTGGCATTTGAACAAGACTTTGATGAGGAAAGTCAAGAATTTGAGGGTGAAGAGAAAGCCATAAGGAGGAACTATGAGATTGAACCCTCGGCTAAAGGTTTAGTGGAAGATTGCTTTGTATCATTGATGCAAATTGGAGTGTCTTGCTCTTCAACTCTTCCTAGTGAACGAATGCTAATCACTGAGGTGATCAACAAACTACATTCTATCAAGAGCTCGTTTATGAATTAAAGCATAATGCAATATGAACAACATGAATATCATTATAAGATAATGATATGCAAAATTCATATGATGTTATGAAGTGGTATTTTAAAACTAGTGTTCTAATAGCACTACTTAAAGAATCAATAAATAAAAATTTCTTATTAGAAATCACGTTAGAAATGTATTAAAAATCATAGTAAAAGTATGTTAAGAGCAGTTTTAATAAAAAAATAATTTTAATTCTTAAGTTATTGATTTAAAAATACTGATTAATATTTATCTTTTACAAATTCATATAAGAATTATCACAAATGTTGATGTGTTAATTTTTCTTGCACATTAAATGAAACTGAAGTGATAAGCAAGTTTTCAAATTTGTAAAAATATGTACCGAAGAATTGAAGTTGAAGAACAGAGCTGTTAAAAGTTATAACAAATATTGACCAATATATGTGCAAGCTAGCCTTATCAACTACTCAAAGAATCAGTGTCATAATACCTTGATTGAGAAAAAGTAATATCTTGTATTAAATGTTTTTAATTGCATAAAAGTATTATATAACATTTATTATTTATTGTTATTTAGAAACATAACATGATTAATTTCAAGGAATTGGTCAAGAAGAGAAAGATAGGGTCTCATATATAACAGGTTTTTGCTCTTTTTTTATAAATCTTTTGCTCTTATAGCAGGTTTTAAACTCTCTCTTGTCAAGTAGGAAAATAATTATAATGGCTAAGATCTCCTTTAATTCATTTTCAACTGCAGAGGGTCCCAATTCATAATATAAAGCATCAAACTCAAAGAAATTAATTTAATTTAATGATAACAGAAATTTCTATATTAGTAGGGCCTGTCTTTAAATGCAAGTTGGTTGCCAATAGTTGTCATTTGAGATGTGATATATTGAATAATCTTTAGTGAACAATCATCCCTCTTATATTTCATATTCTCAAACAATAAAATTACATAAAAAAATATTTTTTATTTGACAATACACATTTTATCTTTTTTTATCCGTCTCTTAATTTTATTAATTATTGTATAAATATAATTTATCTTACTTTATTTCTTTCCCTCATAATCCCTCTTAGATAAGTAAGACATTAGTATTTTGAGACATAACCATGGTCGTACTAAAGGCAGGAATTCCTCTTGATAATACATTTTAGGATTGAAATATAATTGGCTAACCTTTGGATGTATTTAGTAAAATTATTTGATATATTAATTAAAAATTTAAACACTACTGAAGGGTAAAAGTTGAAAATAAATAAGTGATAAAAAGGTTTGGTAAAATTATTTTTAGACTAGCTAATAAACATAAAACTATATAAAAGGATATATTTTATTACCGTGTCTTAATATAAAATTTGGTAATTTATATATGTTTTTAAATAATTATCACTTTTTATATTTTAATTTATTTGAAATATTTTATTATCTTAAGTAGGATAATCATTTTTTATTCTAATTTTTAACTATTTATATTAAATGAAACAAGGTAATGTAAAAGGATTAATGTTATAATTTTGATAATTTTACGTTATAAAAAAAATTTAAAAATGAAATAGAGAGAGGGGGAATATATCTAAGAGTTTGTGAAATTAAAAAGGGTAATGGAAGAAAATTAATAAGATAGTATGATCCACTTATTGAAGAAAGAAAACAAATTTCAAGCTTATAAATTCAAATGCTACACGAAATAGCATTTTGAAAAATGCTACAAGTAATATAAACTATTAAAATAAGCAGTTTTATTAAATAAGTCTAATTTAATTAAATAAAATTTTAAATTAGTTAAATAAGTAAGAAACTAGTTTATTTCCTTTGCCAAACACAGTCATAATATAACTACAAATTTAAATAAGTAAAAAATTGAGCGCCACAAGTGAGCTATCTTTAATGAACATTGTAAAACATTGTTAGTTGCATATATGCCACCATAATAAATTTTAGGTGCACTATGGAGCCAAAAAAGAGTAATTTTAAATTAAAATAACACATATGTAACTATTGCACATGTAAAAAGCAATAGCTATCATAATAAAAATATACATATTTTTAAAATTACTTCTATATAAAAAAAAATTATGAATTTTTAAATGATTAAAAGATAGTATGATAGATACGGCTAAATAAGCACTTTGGGGCATGGATGGGGCTTTAATTGCTGTATAAAATGTGAGCACAGACCATACAGTATATAGTCATGCACCAGAATTGGAATATAATATCGTGCCAAACGGTTTGAAATTCACCGTGAGTTTCTGATCAAAGATATGGAATTTTATCATATAAAAATAATAAACATATTATTATATTATTTATTTTAATGAGTATTAAATTTTTAAAATATAAATAAATATTAAATTTTAAATAACGTATCTATAAATATTCAAATTAATAGCATAAATATGCATTTATGAATATCTTTATTTATTAATAACATAACGTGTGTTTGAATTTCAAGTCATAAATCAAATCTATCATAATTATGAGAATAGTCAAATTTATAAAACAACAAAATCAATAATTTCCATGGACCCCGAAATCCTTTTTGAACTATAGTCTATATACCTGCCTCCATCTTTGACTTGTCATAGTTGGCATCAAAATCTGCATTTCCGAAAATAAAAATAAAAAAAATGAGCAACTCTTATGGATTTCAATTCCTTTGTGGAATTCTTCTCTTATTCATGAAGACAAGTCAGAACTCAGCAACTGCAGCAACCATGCAAGGAAATGAAACTGATCTACACACTCTACTTGATTTCAAGAGTAGGATAGTTCATGATCCATATGATATTATGAGTTTGTGGAATGATTCCACCCATCACTGCAACTGGGTCGGAATTACTTGCAACAACTCCAATGGAAGAGTCATGTATTTGATCCTAGAAAACAAGGCACTAGCTGGAACTGTTCCACCTTCTATAGGAAATCTCACATTCCTTACAAGACTTAACCTTAGAAATAGTAGTTTCCATGGAGAGTTTCCTCAAGAAGTTGGACATCTACAATTCCTGCGGCATCTAAACATTGGTTACAATTCTTTTGGTGGTAGTCTTCCAAGTAATCTAAGTCACTGCAAAGAACTAAGCATATTATCTGCTGGTCATAACAACTTCACAGGAACAATTCCACCATGGATGGGAAACTCTTCATCTTTATCTTTAGTTAACCTTGCTGTGAACAACTTGCATGGGAGCATACCAAATTCACTAAATGGAAACTACTTGTCTGGAACAATTCCTCCTTCAATTTTTAATATTTCTTCCTTGCACTTTTTCACTGTTTCTCAAAATCATCTTCATGGTAACATCCCATTTGATGTTGGTTACACTCTTCCTAAACTTGAAACATTTGCTGGTGGGGTCAACTATTTCACTGGACCAATTCCTGTGTCACTGTCAAATGCATCGAGACTAAAAATTCTTGACTTTGCTGAAAATAATCTCACTGGCACAATTCCTAAGAACTTAGGAAGATTGCCCCATTTAATAAGACTCAATTTTGATGTTAATAGACTTGGAACTTGGAAAGCTGGTGATCTGAATTTTCTTGCTTCCTTGGTTAATTGTTCTGCTCTTGAAGTCTTGGGCCTTGCTGAAAATAGTTTTGGTGGAGAATTGCCAAGCTCAATTGCTAATCTTTCAACCCAATTAAATATACTTACATTAGGTTCCAATGCAATTCATGGAAGTATCCCTACTGGGATTGGGAACCTTGCAAACTTAACTGTTCTAGGATTGGAAGAGAACAGCCTAAGTAGGTCTGTTCCTGATTCAATAGGTATGCTTCAAAAGTTAGAAAGGTTGGATTTGAATGCCAACAATTTTTTTGGGTTAATCCCTTCATCCTTTGGAAACTTGACAAGGTTAACTATGTTATTCATGGAGGAGAACAACTTTGAGGGAAGTATACCAACAAGTCTAGGAAAATGCCAAAGCTTGTCGTTGTTAAATTTTAGCCATAATATGCTCAATGGAACCATACCAAGACAAGTCATTGCCTTGTCTTCTCTTTCAATTTACTTAGACTTGTCTCATAATGCTTTGATAGGGTCTGTGCCTATTGAAGTGGGCAAGTTGATCAATCTTGAAGAGTTGGACCTCTCAGAGAACAAATTGTCTGGCATGATTCCCTCCTCTCTTGGAAGCTGTATTAGCTTGGAATGGCTGCATTTACAGGGTAATTTTTTTGAGGGAAACATACCTTCAACTATACAGAATTTGAGAGGTTTACAAGATATAGATATGTCAAGCAATAACCTGTTTGGGGAGATTCCTGAATTTCTTGGTGAGTTCAAAGTGCTCGAGCATCTCAATCTTTCTTACAATGATTTTGAGGGAAAAGTACCATTGAATGGAATCTTCAAGAGTGTAACATCCTTTTCAATGTATGGAAATAGCAAGCTTTGTGGCGGTGTTCCTGAGTTATATTTACCTGCATGCACAATCAAAAAGTCCTCTTCCCTTGGCCCCAAGGTGGTTATCCTTGTAGCTATTGCTCTTGTATTTCTTCTATTACTATCTTGTTTTCTTACAAGCATTGTAGTAAAGAGAGCAAGAAAGAGAAGCTACAGATTAGCTAGCACAAAGGGTTTGGTATTGCCAATGTCATACTCAGAACTTGCAGAGTGCACTTGTGGGTTTTCCCAGGATAACCTTATTGGCTCAGGAAGTTTTGGTTCTGTGTACAAAGGAACTCTTTCAAGTGATGGATCAAGTTTTGCAGTTAAAGTATTGAATCTTCAACAAAAAGGAGCTTCAAGGAGTTTCTTTGATGAATGCCACGTTTTGAGAAGTATAAGGCACCGCAACCTTCTCAAGATTATAACTGCCATCTCTAGTGTTGATTATCAAGGTAATGATTTCAAAGCTTTGGTGTTTGAGTTCATGCCTAATGGAAGCCTAGAAGATTGGTTGCATCCTATAGATAATGTGCATAATCAGACAAAGATGTTGTTTTGATATCAGAAAGAACGACCACAGAATATTTTGTGTAGAGGTGTATATTACTCTTTATTCGATGGCTCTTTAAATAGAGCTGAAGGAATAACAAAAATAGAGACATCCAACTTTTTACGGATAGCTTAATGACAAATTTGAATTTTAAAAAATAGATTAACAAAAACAAAAAACTTAAATAATAACAGAATCTTAAAGTATCTATTCTGTTGCAGCTATTTAGGCATATTATCAACACTCCTCCTTGCATCAATAACTGCTGACACCCAATTTGAATCTCAAAGCTTCAAAACTGTCTTTAGGAAGAGCCTTTGTTCAAATATCAGCACTTTGATCTTCAGTCTTGCAGTAGAGTAATATGACTTCACCTTCCTTTTGCATCTCCCTTAAGTAAACTAATTTGATTTTAAAATGCTTGGTCTTGCCATGAAAAACAGGATTATTTGAGATTGAAATGGCAGCTTGATTGTCAACAAAGATCATCGTTGGTTCTTTTAGCTCCACATGTAGATCTAGAAGTACCTTTCTAAGCCAAATGGCTTGATTCACAGCAGCTGTAGCTGCTGCATATTCTGCCTCAGCTGTGCTTTGAGCAACAATGTCTTGTTTCTTGGAACACCATGAAAACACACCTGAGCCAAAGCTGAAACAGTAACCTGTTGTACTTTTCATGTCATCAACTGAACCACCCTAATCACTATCAGAATATCCATGAAACTGATAATTCTGAGAGTGAGTGAACTTGATGCCATAGTCTGCGGTCCTCTTAACATATCTCATAATCCGTTTGGCAGCTTGTAAATGTATTTCACTGGCACAGTGCATGAATCTTGAAAGTATACTTACTGCAAACATAATGTCAGGCCTGGTTGCAGTAAGATACATTAAACAACCAATCAAACTTCTATAATAATATTCATCAACTTTTTCAGCTCCATCGTTATTGCTAAATTTCTCCTTTTGATTCATTGGAGTAGTAGTGTCTTTGCAATTCTCCATTTGAAACTTTTTGAGTATCTCCCTTGCATACTTCTTTTGGCATATGAAGACTCCATCATGATTCTGCTTTACTTCCATTCCCAGAAAAAAGGACATCAAGCCGAGGTCTGTCATCTCAAATGCTTGAAGCATCTCAGCCTTAAACTCCTTAATTATCTTCTCATCATTTCTGGTGACTAGCAAATCATCAACATAGACAGAAATTATGATTAAATCTGCATTTGTCTTCTTAACATATAATGTAGCTTCACTTGGACTTTTGATGAATCCAAGATCTTGAAAATAATTGTCAATCCTGCTGTACCAAGCCCTAGGGGCCTGTTTAAGGCCATACAATGCCTTTTTTAGTTTGTAGACTTTCTCCTCCTGTCCCTTGACTTGAAATCCCTCAGGTTGCTCAACAAATATCTCCTCTTGTAAATAGCCATTTAAAAAAGCAGATTTTACATCTAAATGATAAACCTTCCACCCCTTATGCGCAGTCAAGGCAAGCAGCATTCTAATTGTATCAAGTCGTGCAACCGGAGCAAACGTTTCTGAAAAATCCACACCAAACACCTGAGCATAACCCTTCACCACCAACCTGGCCTTGTATTTGTTTATAGAACCATCTGCATTTAGTTTAGTTCTGTAAACTCATTTGACTCCTATAGATTGCTTGTGTTGAGGTCTGTCCACTAGCTCCCAAGTGTCATTTTTTTCGATCATTTTTAGCTCATCCTTCATAGCATCTATCCATTTATCATCCTTCTCAGCTTCTTTAAATTCTGCTGGTTCTAGGACAGCAACATTGCTTCTTTCATAAATTTCAGATAAAGGTCTTGTACCTCTCCCCAGCTCCATTGTTTGTCTTCTATGAAATTAACATCTCTACTTACAAGAATTTTTCTATTTTGGAGTTGAAAAATTCTATAAGCTTTAGAAGTGTTGTTGTATCCAATGAAAACTCCTGGTTCAGCCTTTTTGTCAAGCTTATCTCTTTTAACCTGTGGTACAAAAGAAAAATAAAGACAACCAAAAATTTTCAGATTCTGTAAGTCTGGTTTGTAACCAAACCAGCCTTCAAATGGAGTTTTATTTTGTAAAACTCTGGTTGGTAGCCTATTCAACAGGAAGACAACAGTGTTTGCAGCCTCTGCCCATAGTGTTTTTGGTAGTCTTTTTTTATGCAACAAGCATCTTGTCATCTCCATAATGCTTCTGTTTTTTCTTTCACTCACGCCATTTTGTTGTGGGGTATAAGGTGTTGTAAGCTGGTGCTCAATACCAGCCTCTACACAAATTTTGTCAAAGATATCATTTGTATATTCCTTCCCATTATCTGATCTTATTGTACGCAACCTGCAACCACTTTGATTCTCCACAAAAGCTTTATATTTTCATAATATATTAACAACCTCAGATTTGGATTTGAAGAAATAAATCCAACAAAATCTGGTATAATCGTCAATAAATGTAATATAATATTTGTTACCATTTAAAGACAACGTTCTATGAGGGCTTCCAACATCTGTGTGTACCAGCTGTAATTTGTTTGTAGCTCTCCATGCTGTTTGGGGAAATGGTTTCCTGACTTGTTTGCCATATTGACAGGCTACACAATCAACCAGCTTGTCTTCAAGCAATGACACACCTTTCACCAAGGCATGTTTTTGCATGTATAAGAGTCCACCAAGATGGAAATGTCCAAGCCTCTTATGCCATAATTCAGTGTTACTGACTGTACTTGAAAAGGCTATTTGCTCCTCCTCCATTAGATTTAGAGCATAACTTTTAGCTTTCATTTTTACCTTAAATACATCTCTATCTTCTGTATCTTTGATCAAGCACCACTTGTCTTCAAATATAACTTTGAAGCCTTTTTCAACTAGCTGGGAAACGCTGAGTAGATTTTGATCTAAGTCAGGCACATATAAGACATCAGAAATATGCTTCAAGCCTGTTAAGCTTTCTATAGCAACTGTCCCTTTTCCCTTGGTTGATAGGTAAGCACCATTTCCAATCATCACTTTGGACACAATGGTCTTGTCAAGCTTTATAAAAATCTTATGGTCATTTGTCATGTGGTTTGTGCAACCACTATCTATCAACCAAGAATCACTAGAACTGTTGTTTGTAACAAAACATGTTGTAATGAAAAGTTGCTCTGGCTCCTCTTGATGTAGCTCAGTGGACACCTTTGCCTCTGTAGGTTGTTGAGACTTGCAAATCCGCTCTATATGTCCCATGTTACCACACTTCCTACACTTGACATCAGGCCTCCACCAGCATTTTTGTTGGGGATGATTAGTTTTTTTGCAGTGTGGACAGGGTGGAAAACTGGCATCTTGTTGCATGTTGGAATTTTTAGAGTTCTTGTTTTGCTTGTTATTCTTCTTATCTTTGCCTTCTCTTGAGTTTTGTGCTTGAAGGGCACCTTGTACTGTCACCTCTTGTCTCATAATTCTTCTTTGCTCTTGTGCCTGAAAAGCATGCATAACTTCTGCCAAGGTAATCTTAGACAGATCCTTTGTGTTCTCCAAAGTTGCTATAGAGGCTTCATATCTTTCAGGCACGGTTACAAGGATTTTTTGTACAATTCTGGAATCTATAAATTCTGTGCCAAGTAACCTCACCTTGTTGGCAATGCCAAGTAATCTGTCTGAGTATTCTTTGACTGTCTCTGACTCATTCATTCTTTGCAACTCAAATTCCCGTATTAAATTTAGCACCTGCATGCTTCGTATCCGGTCATCTCCTGCATATTCTTCCTTTAGATAATCCCAAATTGCTTTTGCTGTTTTGAGAGTTATGATTCTTATAAAAATTGTTTTTGAAACACCAGCAAACAGGCAAGCCCTTGCCTTTGCCTTCTTGCTTTTTCTTTCCTTGTGACTTTTCATCTGGGCCACGGTGGGATTGTCTGGCAGCGGAGAAACATCATAATGGTCTTCCACAGCTTCCCAGAGATCTAAAGCCTCTAGGTAGGCTTCCATTCTCACAGCCCAAAGGTCATAGTTTTCTCCATCAAAAATAGGAGGGGCAATCTGTGAAAAACTTGTCTCGGCATCCATAGAACAAATCCCGTAAGAAGAAGGCTCTCTGATACCAATTTGTTGTTTTGATATCAGAAAGGACGAACACAGAATATTTTGTGTAAAGGTGTATATTACTCTTTATTTGATGGCTTTTTAAATAGAGCTGAGGGAATAACAAAAACAGAGACATCCAACTTTTTACGGATAACTTAACGACAAATTTGAATTTTAAAAAATAGATTAACAAAAACAAAAAACTTAAATAATAACAGAATCTTAAAGTATCTATTTTGTTGCAGCTATTTAGGCATATTATCAACACTCCTCCTTGCATCAATAGCTGCTGACGCCCAATTTGAATCTCAAAGCTTCAAAACTGTCTTTAGGAAGAGCCAATGTCATACTCAGAACTTGCAGAGTGCACTTGTGGGTTTTCCCAGGATAACCTTATTGGCTCAGGAAGTTTTGGTTCTGTGTACAAAGGAACTCTTTCAAGTGATGGATCAAGTTTTGCAGTTAAAGTATTGAATCTTCAACAAAGAGGAGCTTCAAGGAGTTTCTTTGATGAATGCCAAGTTTTGAGAAGTATAAGGCACCGCAACCTTCTCAAGATTATAACTGCCATCTCTAGTGTTGATTATCAAGGTAATGATTTCAAAGCTCTGGTGTTTGAGTTCATGCCTAATGGAAGCCTAGAAGATTGGTTGCATCCTATAGATAATGTGCATAATCAGACAAAGACACTAACATTTATCCAAAGACTGAACATAGCAATTGATGTTGGTTGTGCATTGGAATATCTCCATCACTTCTGTGAAACTCCAATTGTTCATTGTGATATAAAGCCAAGTAATGTACTTCTTGACAATGATATGGTTGCTCATGTTGGTGACTTTGGATTAGCTACCTTTCTATTTGAAGAATCTAGCAGTTTTTCTAAGCATTCAACTATGTCCACTATCCTAAGGGGTTCTATTGGATACATCCCTCCAGGTATGTCTTTCACTCACTATATTGTTTAAGTGTTATGTAGCGAGTTGGCAAATTGGTTAACTTATAATTTTAGTTCCTTCTTGTACTTGACTTGTTTTTTAGTCTGTATAAAAAATAAACTTACATTTTGGTTTTTATATGAAAAAAATTTACAAATTGATATCCACTGTTTATTAAAGTTATAATGATTTTAGTTTATTTTGCACGTAGGAGCCAAAAGAAAAAATGACATGTCATATGTACGACTAAAATGCATAACTTTTATATGTAGAAGCGACCGAAGTTATTGCAAATATGGAAATTAAAATAAAAATAGTATCAAAGTATAGGGACCAAATTTAACACTCTAACATTGATAAGGCAAGAATTGATCTGGAAATAACTTTTCAATTGATCAAAATGTAAGATTTTTTCATGTAGAAACTAAAATAAAAAAGCGTCAAGTATAAGGACCAAATTTTACTCACTCGGTTTCAAATGATGTAGAGTATGGAATGGGAGGCCACCCTTCAGCAATGGGAGATATTTACAGTTATGGGATACTATTACTAGAGGTTTTCACAAGAAAAAGACCGACGGATGAGAAGTTTGAAGGTAGCATTGGAATTCAGCAATTTGCAGCCTTGGCTTTACCAAATAATGCCATGAATATAATTGACCCTTTATTGCTTTCTGAGCAAGAATCTGAAGCAAATATAGAGGGTTGCTTGGTTCCAGTGTTGCATTTAGGAGTGTCATGTTCTACAACTTCACCAAGTGAAAGGAAGCCTATGACTGTGGTCGTTAACAAACTGCATGCAATCAAGAACTCGTATTTAATACTAAACCAATTAAACTAGAATCAATAAAAAAAAAAAGGGAGAAGATAAAAGCCTTTGTAATTAAATTCTTGGAGGACAGGCTAGCATTCACAGAGGAATGATCAGATATTATGGAGAATTACAATATTATTATTGGTAAAATATATCTTAATTTAGTTTATGACTTTTTTTTTTCTAAACCACAGGTATTTTTTATTGAAAGCAATTTTGTTTATGCTAGGTAGGATAATTATGGATAGTAAAGTTCCCTTCCAAATATTTAACACAGTTGTATTTGTTGTGACTCATACTCAAGTTATGGCTTTGTAATTTCTAATTTTTTATATATATTCTTTTGCAAAGTCAATATATATGTGTGTGTATAGAAAAATTATATCTCGAAAAACAAAAGAAAAAGAACCATAGCAACCACATTGCTTCATCTAATAATATTAAGAAAAATCTTTTATACTTTCAAAATTTTCATGTCTTTAAAAAGAATAAATTTTTTACATTGTTACCATATTTGTTTCTTTAAGGTAATTTTTTATTTTAATTATAAAAATTAAATTTAATATTTATTAGTAAAATATATCTTAATATAGTCTATGGCTCTGTAATTTCTAATTTCATATATATATTCTTTTGTGAAGTCGATATATATGTATAGAACAAATATATTTCAGAAAAAAAAAAAAAAACAAATCAACCATAGCAACTACATTGCTTGATCTAATAATATAAAAAGTCCCTATTTTACTTCCAAAATCTACAAGGTATTTCATGTCTTTGAAAGAATTCAAGTTTTGGAATTCAAACAATACTTGTTCCCTGACAGTTAATTTTTTTATTTTAATTATAAAAAGTAAATTTTAAAAATCATATAAATGGGAATGTTCTTGTCTTAAAGAAAGAAATATTTACTGTTGACGGACAAAAGATTCCGTACAGGCTTCCACAACACAAAGGTCAAGTGGGTATACATAGAAATCACCAAAGATGTCTCGAGCCATATGCACCACTCAAAACCAAATCAACGCATAATTGGTTGAGATTATCACGTCGGATAAAAAGCAATTTGGAGTGATGGTGATTCCTGTGACATGCCACTTGCAATTTGATCCGTGTTACATTTTGATCATTGTGTCAGTACCATAAACTCTTGTGTTCCCAATACTATAAAAATGGACCCACTTCAAAGCAGAGAGTAGATCATGCATTAGTGTTCTTTGCCTACATCCAACAAAAGCTGACCATTAAGGTTGTCCCTGTCTGTGACTGAGACCAAGCTTCACTTCATCCAGTGATGGATACCCTCTTGAAGTCTTGCTCTGTGGCCATTGTTGACAGGCTTGGAAATGGAACTTTTGCTCCTAAATGTTCTGCCTATGGTACCAATAGACCCCCATTTTGCTTATCCCCAAATGACAAGAAAGGTTGCAACTTTCCATTCCTCAAACTTGTTCCAAACAAGGGCATTCACACTCTTCATGCTGTGCCATCCAAAACTCAGGTTTTATGTTGTTTTGGCCTTGTGTGTTTTGGTTTGTCAGGGAGGAAAATCTTATTTCTGAATGGCTTTCCAATGTCTTTGAATTTCAAAGGATAATAATTAAACTAATACTTTTATTATTTCAACCACTACAAATCAGTGTGTGTTTATTCTCATAATTTATAATATATTTTTGTTATGAAATGAATCGAGTGGTAATGAGTTTTGGTATATTTGATGAAATTTAATCTTGGTTTGCGTAATATGTTACAGGTGGACTTGGACAGTTTGATTAACCAAGCTCAAACAAAAGGTGTGTTATAAGTCCTGAACACTTACATGATATTTTTTATTGAATATTCTATAGCTTTAAACACTCTACAAACGTGAATTTGTGGTGCAGATGAACCAAGGACTGTTCATGTCAAGTTTCAGTTGATTCGCATTTGCAATTACGGGGAACACTTTCAAGTGGTTGGTGATGATCCTATGTTTGGTTCATGGAATCCTTCTAAAGCAGTTCCAATGACCTGGTCAGAGGGGCATATATGGACTGTAGAGCAGGTGGGTATTGTCTGTTAAAAAATATGATAATTTTGGCCGAATCAATTAGTTAAAAAACTAATTTTAGCACTTTTTAACGAAAATTGTATATTTCATATTATTAATTTAAACACATATTTTGTTCACATTTAATGGTTAAATTAAGGTGACAATTTATCTTACAAAAATCTTAAGAATGTTATTGTACTTTTCCTTAATGCAATTCAGGATATACCTGTTGGAAAGTCAATCCAATTCAAGTTCATCCTGAAAAGGAAGCAAGGTGATATTGTATGGCAGCCCGGCCCAGATAGAATTATCCACACTTGGGAATCTATGCACTGTGTCACTGTTTGTGAGGATTGGGACAATGCTCAACTTCAGAAAATAACAGAGGAGAGTCAAAATGCATCCTCAAATGAAGAACCCAAGACTGAATCAGAAAAGGCAAATTCGGTTCTTCCTAAAGAGAAGCACAAATCCAATGCACCCAAAGTCCTGAAAAACACTTGTTGAACCCCAAGTTGCACAATTTTGATCCCTTTTCCTTTGTTTTTTTGTTTTTGTTTTTGGTTTTTTGGTCTCACCTCAAATTTATTTCCTTGAACACAATGTACTGTCCTCTAGAATGAAAGCTCAAGTAATTTTGAGCTTTTCATCCCCATTGCACTTAGACCATTACTAGTTATTAGATAATAAATTGAGTATGTCACTGTTTGTTTTATCATTTATGTTCATCAATGAAATGATTTATTTTCTTGTTCATTGCACATTGGTTTATTTATCAAATATGAACTGCTTCTGAAAAAAAAAAAAAGAGAGGCAAGAACAATAACATTGTTTCCGGTTTAATCTGAATATTCAATTATTAAGTGCTTTAAGCCTCAAACTATAAGTCTAAAAATTAAAGAGCCAAGTGTGCAACTATCACTTTATTATAATATACTAGTTGTACTATAAATTAAAATGCATAATAATGTATTGCATGCAAATTAGTAAATGAATTAATAATGTAATTTTTAGTTGTTATTTTTATTTGTTGATTTATGTGAATTATTCATTATTATTGTAATTTTAACTATATATTTATAATTTTTAAATATATTTATTTGAAAAATTATTTTAAACTAACAAATATATGTATACTTAACAACACTATAGCATTAATATATCATCAAATAATATATTAATTACACTAAAAATTATAATGTAAAATTACATAGTAGATATAATTGATAAATAAAATAATAATTTAATTTTTACATACTACTTTTATTTGTTAATTTATGCAAATTACTATTATTTATTTTAATTTTAAATTTATTTTTTATACGCTGACAATTTAATAATAACATTTTTTTATTCAAAATACATTTTTCATATTTTTTATTATAGTAAATTTATTATTTTATATCTATCAATATCCATATATTAAATTGACTATAATTTAGTATTAAAAGTTATATTTAATAAATATTATATATATATATATAGATTTCCATAATATTATAATTTTTATTTATAATATGTTGATTAAATATGAAACTTTGTAGTAACTCAAATAATGTGTAAACTACACTAAAAATATAATTTATAATAAATATAAATAAATTATCTCCATATATTTTTAAACCTAAGTCACTAAAACTTTTATTGTTATTATTTTTAATCATAATAAAAAATATACTTATATCCTATTTAAAAATGTATATATAATATAGATTTGTAATAAAATTTAATTATTTTTATAATATATAATAATTTTATTTAACATATTTTATATATTAAAATTAAATACATTATATCTAGTTAAATTATCATTTTATATCATCTTGCCTAAACATGTTTCCGAGAAGGAGCAAAATATCAATTTTTGCACAACGGAATTAGAGGCGGCACAAACAGACATATATTAGCAGTTCAGAACTTTAGTATTAAAAAATGCTATTCTAATTTTTAGGATTAAGATAAGCAATTAAAATAGTAAAATTTTATTTGAAAAGAAAATATTCATCATCTTGAGAATAATAAATTATATTTTTAATATACTTAAATCCAGTTTTAAAAGTTGAAATAAACAAAATTGATAAATTAATGTTGTTGCTTTCTAGTTTACATCTTTTAGTTACTTGTGACTTGAAGGATATGTTACGTTTTACTATTTTTAAAAGATAATAAATTATACTCTAATAGCTTTCTTAAAAAAATAATAAGAGAAAATCAATTTAATATTTTTTTTTTCATTCTTAGCATATCTGTGCAACCTCTTAGAAGTTTTGACTTTTCTAAAAGATGTTAGTGAACTTTCTAACAAAAAAGCTAGTTAGTGAATTGATTAGGGTGACCTTAACAGTGTATTATTCATTAAGTCAAGTCACATAAAATGAAGAATTTAAAATAGGCTTGAAATAAAGTTTTGTTAGGATTTAGAATGGTATTGAGAGGCCAATGCTACCTATGTAATTTGCACGAATATTAAAGAAAAGACAAGAATATTAAGTGTTACATTTTCATAAAAAAATATCACAATTATTATTTTACACTCGATTTTTACCATCTTCACTATGTACATGATTGACTTAAGTAATATATGTTGATTGGTTAGGAATTAGAATCTTTTTCCGTAACATGACTCTCATGCTCTGTGTTTTTTATTTTTATTTAAATAAAAATGTAAAAATATAAGCATATGAGAGTAATGTTCGTGCCAAAAAATAGAAAGATCCCAATCCATTAGTTAGCATGCTTGTTTTACATTTTCACAACACAAATAAATATTTAAATACAGAATACAAAAAGTATACTACATTTTAAAAAAAATTATTTATTAAAATAATATAAAAAAATGTGTACCTACCTAAGATAAGTCTTACTGCCTCAGTAACTAGTATCATTTTCATGAGAAAGAATGCTTATTTTAGTACCTACAATTTTATATATATATAGTTTTATTTTATTTTTTAATTTTTAACTTTTATTTTATTTATTTATTCAAAATTTTCTCTCTCTTCAGTTATTCTATATATTTAAATGATAAGTTTTACATTACATTATTAAATAATTACAATTAATTTTATATTAAATACATATACCAGATCGTTGGAGTTAATAATTTATTTAAAAACGATATAAATATCTTTTAATCTTTAAGATATTAGAAGAATCATAGTCATCAATTTAAAGAGAATATAAAATATTTTTTCAAGTTTATATACTTAGGAATAAAAATAGGTTAAGTTAGACTAGACTTTATATAAATAAGTCTGACCAATTTAATAATTTTGAAACTTAATTTTGACTCCTTATTTGTCATAAATATTTTAGTAAATTTAATTTAATATTAGTCTTTTTTATTATTTACTTCGTATTAAGATCTTTAATAAGCTATTAAACTTTTTTATAAATATGTTATCAACCATATAAATAGGTATGTTTCTATAAAAGTTACAAAGCTTATATTTAAATAAGTCATAAAAAAAATGATTAAGTACTTTTAATATTTATAATAAAATTACATATTTCTATTTATTACTTTCAAATTATATATTTAATTTAAATAAGTAAATCACTAAACATACATCAAAAACTAATACATATCAGCAGTAATGCAAAAGAAGTAAGCAACATTCTTTTTTTTAGTCAGTACATAATAGGAACCCTCTTCAACTCCAATAAAAAGGACTGTGATTTTTAATTCAAGATTTTATTCATTTTAAAATTTAATATAATACTATATATAATTTTTATATAAAAATATTTAATATATTATAAATTTTATGAGTTTTAAATAAATTATATTAAGTCTAATAATTTTTTCTTAAATTCCAGTATAAACTATTCAATTATTTAAGTCTTTAACTTAATTAAGTCAAGTTTATTAGACTTTAAAAAAGTTAGAAAGTAAACTCCTATCGAATAGGCTAATCTGTTTCTATTTATCGTAACAAGCACCTATATAAATAAATAAGTATTATTATAAGTTTGAACTATGATCATAATATTAAAAATAAAGTAATAAAATATTTATTTCACTGCAATATTAATTAAATCAATTAACAAAACTATATTTTATTATCCATTATAATCCTTATTATACTATAGCGCATAGAAGATTATAGTTTATATTTCTATAATTTATCTAAGTGAATAATCATTTAATCAATATATATTGGTATAAATTCATAATAAGTAATATAAATTAATTATTAATAATATTGAATAAATATATATTTTAATATGATATATGTACATTAAAATAAATTTATTTAACTTAAAATTATATAATTAATTCATAATTTTCATCACTAAAATTCAATGATACATAAATAAATAAAATAAAATTCTACGCCACACAAAGCACAGGTCTAATGAAGTTCCTGGAAATCCTTTTCCATACCCACAACTTTTTCTCAAAAGTTGTTTTAAGAAGTAAAAAGAAGTTCTAACAAAATTAACTCAAATGATCCAACAAAGCACAGGCGTAATGAAGTGTCTGGAAATGCCTTTTCCATTTACAAAAGAACGGTGTTTTTTTCTTTTTCAAAAGCTATTTTAAGATACATTATGAAAAACGTTCTACAAAAATTAACTCAAACAGAATAAATTGACACCAGATTTGAAATTATTAGCAAAACGCAGGCATCAGTAGAATTCATTTTTTTCTTTTAATATTAGTCTGAACTTTGTTATCCATGTAGAAGGGCAAAACTAATTTATGTCTAGAATTGACTATTATCAAGCGGACTATGCACGCTTTGGACATGTTCTTTCATGAACAAATATGGCGTGTTTAACCAGTGAGAATGGAAATTTGTCTGAAATTGACACCCGATGTTTCGACATTGATAATCTCAAATCAGTCAATCAGAAGGGACCAGCTAACCCCAACAAATCCGACCACCAAAACGCCAGAAGCGGATTAATTACAAAGGACAAATGGTTTTCTTATAATTAATATTCAAACTAATATAACATTGACAATGAGGCTAGACAAACATCCTAAAAGTAAGTAGGAAAATGGTAGGGCAAAATTAAAAAAAATGCCCTTCTCTATAACAATTTAGCCAAGGAAAATTACCTCGGCAATCTATAATCGCTATGGGAGAGATATTACACGACCAAATTACATCGAAACCTTCTGTGACCAGAATGATTATATCCCGTCCCAAGAATTAAAATGGACCATTCTCCAGTTGCTGCACTGTTGGTAAATATAGTCTATCTTGCAACGTTTTCACTCCTTCAGTCGTTTACTTGGATTACAACGAGGCATTCTGAAATGACAACTAAGAAAACTAAGCATAGACACCTATTGTATGAAATACTCACTCCTAAAACCAAGCTAGTAGTGTAAAAATCATCAAATAAATAAAGATACTAAAAAAGTTGGAGAGGCAGTGACAAAAACCAAAAAAAGAAATAGAAGAGTTAAGAATGAAAAATTCATGCTCTCACACACCTCGTTAAAGCAAATGTAACCCAACCTCCCCCAAAAAACTGATACGCTTATCACAAGTTACCTCTGGGAGCTGATACGCTTATCCATTTGCTGATTAATGGGATTAGGTGTAGATGACCTAGTCTCAGCAACAGAAGCCTGAAAATCATAAGTGAATCGATGCAAATAATTACATCTACATGACAAGCTAAGCAATTCACAGAACGCCCTAGTACATCAACCATTTCTCCTATGTAGAATGCAGCAAACCACATAAGAAAAAATTCCAGAAAACGACCTAGTTTACGTAAAATCCTGCAGTACCAATTTTTTGAGTCTACAAATTCCATGTATAATAACTGTGTATTGACCATTAGACTCCAGTTATGAAAATAATTAAGGCCCTGTTTGGGTAAACTTTTCAAGAACTTTTTATAGGAGGAAAAATCAGTATAAAAAATAAATTTAACTTCTCTCAAAAGTTAAAAACAACTAATAATTCTCTATTTTTTAATAAGTTCTGAGAAGCTCTTTCATTTAGCTTATCTAAAATTTGAAGAGATAAGTTGTTTTTAACTTATGAGAGAAGTTTTATTCATTTTTTATACTAATTTTTCTCTTCTATGAGGACTTTTCTACAAGTTAACCCAAACAGGACCTAAAACCACAATATAACCTTAAAGAAAAAGTAATTGATTGCTTCTTGTATTCCCAAACAAACTGGAAAGCATCAGTTTAGAAGCACGTAATAGCAATATGGTCAAAATGATAACAAGGGACTACTTGGATAATGGGTAGATACCAGGGACTGACCACCAAGTCCTTACCTTTTAAGCAGGAATTTAAGAAGCCTGTCTAAGACAGCAGTAGCAGACGTGAAGCCAGTTCACTCCCCATTCAGTGATTTAGCCTTCACATTGATGCTACACAATTCCATAAACGATGTGATTTCTCTATACAACCACTAGGCCTCGTGGACTTCCTAGTCCACATACCCCTTATCCAAGCATCACCTATTTCCTTAAACAAATAAGTCAAATCAACTACCAAAAGCATAAAAAAATACCCCACCTCAGAAGCATTTTCTCTAGGCAATCCATCTTCTCTTTGCAGTTCACTGGATTCTGGATTTATCACATCCCACAAGAAACCATTGTCAGGTCCAAGAGAAAGCTTGTCAAATTCTCTATCAACAGCTCTACACTGAGGCTCCACATGAGCCACATACTTCTCTGTAATTTGCAAACATCAAAAATGCATTCAGTAGTTCAATATAGTTCCAATTAAGAATAGGGCAAAATGTTAGATTTACCACAATGTATTAGCACAAACAAACTAATTTCATTAGGCAACCATCATGCATATATTCACCATCCACCAGTAGCATGCTGAGAAACACTTCCTCAAGCCCAGACAACATAAAAATATATTTACCTCTTGAAACAAGTATGCTGATTGATAACATGTCCTTAACATACACTAGAACACCATGTTTACTAGAAGTGTAATCGTGGAAGACAATCAAACAAAGATTTGGGGAACAAATAAGTAACTGAAAGTCAGATACCAGCAGATGAACTAACTCCGGATTGCTCAACATGCTTCAATAGGTACAATTTAACAAAACACCAAAGTAAAGTAAAGAATCTTGGAACTGTTAAACATGCATGCATAGTGCTTAAGAGCGCATATATTCAGACACTTGTTGTCAAGCAACCAGTAAATGCTCTCTCTAACCAAAAAGGAGGAGAAATTTTTCCATATAATATATCCCCCAAACATAACGACCAATAATGCCCCACCAAATGCAGCAACAATATCTTACCTATCAATCTCTGACCTCTGTACCTCTATTATTGATTGAAAAAATTTATTTATACTCCTATGTTCCAAGAATTTTTCCCTTCATCAATACAAAGGAATAAAAGCTGTAAAAACAAAATATTAGAACACAATTTTGTAATTGGCTTGAACAAACTATTTTACCTGCTAAGCTGCGAAGCGCATTCTCAGCAGCTTGTTGTTGAGCATCCTTCCTTGTCCTACCCATACCAACACCTATTTTCTCACCAGTGAATAGTACCTAAACCAACGCACGAGACAAATTAACAACACAGGTCATGAACAAATCAATTAAAATAGAGAAGACCAAAACTAAACTAAAACTTAGTTCAGATTGAAGAGTAACAAACATACCATTTAACAAAAAATTTACATTTTAAAACCAATAATCAGCTAATGCATTATACAACATAACAACTCATACTACATAAACCAGGAGTATTTCAATAAGAAAAACATTAATAATTACATGTATAAACAGGCATATAATCATCAAAATACACATCAGGAAACAAAACTTCCACAGACCTCCACTGAAAACTGCAAGTCTTTGCTGGTGCTTAAAATGGACTTAAATTCAACCTATCAAGGGAAAACAAAAAAAATGTACTTCAGGAAAAACAGAAGAAGAAAAAAATGCTCATTTAGGCGCAGAAACCATGCATACCTTACAGTTACACCGCCTTGCAATTTCTTGCAGCACTTGAATAGATAGAGGGTGTAAGAAGTTCAATTTTCCAGCTTCATTTTGAAAATCTTTGCTATTAGAAGATGCATGATTCTGAGATATCCCATCCTCTGGAAAAAGTTTGGTCAATAACACAACACAGAAAACAGCAATTACTATAGGCAGCAAATGAAAATAAAGGGCTAATGAGAACTTCAAAAACAAGCTTGTCAACAGTATCTGGGCCTTTCCAGCCCTTCATTTCAGACTACGAGGAATGATTGGATAATTCAGCAAGACCAACATTAAAATCTACAGAATCATATGAACTTAACAATAGAAAAGGGAAAAAAAAGAGAACACCCCGATAAAATGCACAAATTCAGCCCTCTCCAATGAACATTCCGATGCAAATACAATTGGAACCTATCCATTTTTACTGAACTATGAACTATGAAGCATGGTTATAGCCAAAAAGGCCAACGTTCCCTTCCAAGAGCCAAGTACAGCCCCCAACATTCCTGAGCATTTACTAAAACTTTGTTAGGATGCAATGATTTAACAAGGAATGACAATAAACTTTACCTGATGGTTGAGACTTGGATGGAGCATTCAGCCTCTGTAAATCAGAAACAGAAGTTGCCTGCATAAAAGAAATATTTTCAAGACAGGAAAATTAACAGTACTCCAAGAAACACTTCAAAGTTCAAACATCGTAAAAAATGGGAAACAATAAATGTTCATTGACCAACCTCTTCAGGCTTGAGTTGTGAAGCTTGCGGGAGTACAACATTTGGGGGTGAAACTATGCCACTATGAGAAAACGATTTCTGTTGAGCCTGATGCTTATCAGACTTTATTACATTAGATTCTTTAGCAGATGCAGAAGGCCAATTATTTGTCTGAGTTCTGTTGCTTGTTTCATCTTCTACCAACCCACCTCCTAAAGGCTGCATTATAGATGGTGACGTCTGAATGGGCGGCTTTGATATCAAAGGGGGTTCAGCTGAACTTTGACCTCTTATGTCCGGACTATGCCTCATGCTTAAAAGTCCCTTTTTCATGTCATAATCGCGATCAACAGAGCTTCCATCATGCTTGATCGGAGGTCCAAGCAAACTAGGTTCTGAGACAAGATTGGAAGAAATGCCATGAAAAAAGAGCATATATTTAAAAAAAAAAAAAAGAATATAGAAATCCTAATAGCATAAGTTGTTCCATACTCTGAGAAGGAGTCAGTGTTCTTGAAGATCCAGGGCCAGTGACATTTGATATTATACCAGAAGTTGGTGGAGAGGTTTCATGTCTGAACTCAACATTGCTTGCCACAGGTCGGGTAACTACATCAACCGAAAATTTATCATCCTGAAAAAGAATAACATAAATAATTTTTTAAAAAAAATACTACTGTAGTACCTGCAAGTGTTCCATGCACATGAACAAGACTACAGTACCAAACACTCATCACACAGACAACATGAAATCCCCAACCAAGATTTGCAAGGAAGTTTGAAAACACATTGCTACAACAGAAACCAGAAATAAAATATTAAAAAACAAGGAAACCTACAGGTTGGTTTAACCTCCGCTCAACTTCTGCACCATTCATTCCTTCACTAATAGGGGCATTCACATTACCATTTGGCATATCCTGTCATCCAGTGAACATGTTGATATTACAGCAACAGATAAACAAGCATCTCACAGCAAAATGATAGCACATAATCACAGATGGTTAAATATCATCAAAAAATTAAGAATCACATATCTTCCAATCTAATACCTCTGACATCAAGTAGTTGCTCACATCCGGGGGGTGAGGTAAAATTCCAATCTCATCTTCAAAGAAGATTTCAGCAATTCTTTGTAATAAATTCTCATCAAACTCTCTGAGAACATGGCAAAATAATTATAGCCAGTGGGAAAAATATTTGAGCCAATAAGGAACTTGATCATATAACTTACTTGAAAAAACAACCTCTGACATTGCATGCAACATTTCTTGCTACACATAGAACTGGTACAGCATTGGCCGTCTATAAAAAAGAACATACTTGAGTCTCTATCATGAAAATTTAGGAAAAAATGCAATAACATACATAAACCCATACCTCTGCTTGAGGAGCATAATAAGGAGTAAAGGCAGGTACAACATGAACCCTAGGCTGGTCCTTGTCTTCCCAAACCTTTGACCGGTCATCAATCACCATTGCCATCTTCGGATGGCACATACCATCTTTGAAAACATTTAGTAAACATTTTCGGGAACCTGCGTACAGAAATGAATAAGAACAGCAGGGAGAAATTAACCAGTATAAGAACTGACAACAAAACATAGAAAAGTAGCTACAACAACAAACTTGTATAATTTGGATTTGTTACATAACCAACAAGATCCCATATAAAAACTGTTTTTGAAATGTTGATATGATTTCAAAATAAGTTCCATTCCAAAATTGTGTGAAAACTGACATGTTAAAGGTGGTAAACAAGAACAAAGGTTCAAACCCATACCTGATTTGACACAAATCACACGATGAAGGATTTGCTTTGAACCTATAAGATGAGCCTCAGGGTCAAGAAGCCTCCACATTTCCAAAGCATAATCCCTTTCAGCCATAGTACAAACATATACTTCAAAACGCTTGCGTCCTTTTGCAGTTAAATAGCATCTTAAATCCTCCCAAGCAGGCCGTAATCTCACTAATACACTAGTATCACGAATCTATATGAAGAAACATGAAGTGAGACTTAAAATACCAAACATCAAAAGGCTTTCAAACACAACTACACCAACTAGGTGTAACTACATTACATGAACAAATTTATAGAAAAAATTGGTGAATTTTACACTGAATTCTGTTTATTTGCTAGAGAGAGAAAGAGAAATGGGACGAAGATGAATAAGAATGCCATACTACTACATAACTAAACAAAATTGATTATTGAAACAACAAAATGGCTGCCCAAGTAAACTGATAGCATATACATTTATAAATAAGACAAGCATATATAGGAATCAGCAGCCACTGGGCAAATTAATCAATAATAGAATTAAGATTTAATGTCTTAGTCCCCTTGCCACTCAGCAAAGTTATTTAACTAAAATGTTTTTTTGTAACTGATGTGATAATTTCACGATATAAGAAGCTGATTTCATTTACACAGGCCAAAAAGACAAACAAGCAAAAGCTGAAACGGTGAAAAAGTGAGAATCAACACAAGATTAAACCTTAAGAACTCATAAACGACCAATCATCCTAAATGTGAGATGATAGAAAGCAGAATACCTATGCTTCTCCAAGAATAATGCCAGACACAAAGATGAAAGGTGACCATTTCTTTCAAGTGTGTAACTATTCAATTTGATTTTACACTGACTCTGTGCATAAAAGTGCTGTGTGACTGTGACCCGGAAACCAGTCCACAATTTTTATCCCATCTAACCATTTTCATAAACCAGCCACTGTCATCACACTATGCATCCCAGTAAAGCATGCATCAAGCTTCATCTCTCAGCAAATCTTAGCCAATTCACAACATCCCAAAGTTAAACCCTAAAACCACTATCAAGCAATCTCCACTCACCACCACTGACCCTCCATAAAAAACCACTAAACACAAACACCAAAAACTAAATAACAACACAAATACACATAAATTTTTCATTTGAGAGACTATCAATTAACAGTTAACAGTTAATAACAAAAACAAACCTCACGATTGATGCGAGTTAGGACTATATTCTTGTCTTGCAACCTAACCACAGGGCGAACCAATTTCTCGTGGCCATCGGACATAGGCGGCACCTCCTCCATCTGAACCTTATATATCTTCCCATTATCAACAACACAATCGCTTTCTGCATATTGCTTTAGCAACAACCGATCCTCAAGGTAACGCTTAAGCTCAGCAGACATACCCTGAACCCTCAACGGATCGGTCTCGCGCGAAATCCAAACGCGCAAGGCCTCAATCCTATCTTCAAACGACTTCATCGTGTTCGCAACGACTAGAGTTTCATCCAAATCGAACACAATCCCCAGACACCTCAAGTTCAGCAAACCCAAGCACGCATCGTAGAGTCCAACCGGAACCGCGAAGCCCCAGAAGCACGGAAACTTCTTCCTCTTGCTCGGCATCGACACCAGGTGAATCTCCTCGTCGCCAATCACCACCACCGCCGTCTAAAACGCACCGTATCATCAAATTCACAATCAGAAACACTAAGATTGAAATAAAAATTTAAGTTCATTAATTTATTTATTTATTAATTAACCTTCATATCGTAGAAGCAATTAGCGTGGATGGTAGTTAGGTCCGAATCAACGGTAACCGAGGAATCGAGCTTGCAGCGAACGTTGAATGCGGCAATGGTTTGGAGAACCGAGAGCGGAGGGCAACGCTCGCTTTTGGCACTGAAGTGGTGGATTCGAATCTCGTTGTTCGGAAACCGGAAGTCCTGAAACGGCGTCATCGGAATGACGTCGAGTTCGCCGACGAGCTTGTCGCCGTCGTAGACGTTGTTTTTTAACACTAAACGACTCATCCCGTTCCTGCTTCCGAGTGTCGGAAACGAAAACGATGACGGTTAAAGTAAAACGCAGCGGCGAAAATGCTTAGGAAATGAGAGGTTCGTGCAATTTGGTGAACGACATTTTATTGTTTCGTTCTTTGCTTCTCGTCGCAGACACTCTCGTAAAGTCACTTTCTCTCTCTATTACAGTCTCTTTAATTTCAGAGCATTCATTCTTACTCTCACTATTGTTTCTTTCTCTCTCTCATGAAACTACGGTTTTCAAACCATTACAGCGCTTCGAAATTTATAGCAGAAGAGAGAGGGGGTTCGGTTGAACAGGGGCGAGGATGTTATGTAAGATTACTTATGTGCCCCTACATCGTCTTATCCAGGGAAATGTTAAGATTACACAGATGTGACAAATCATGAGAACCTTTTGAACACGTTGCAGTAGCATCTACCGTTCATTGGGATATTGTGTGGTTTTGTCTACGATCTTGCCATTGATAATATTTTTTATATTTTATTTTAATTTAAATAAGTTGTTCTGCAAAATTAATTTATATATATTGAAAAGTTATAAAAAAAATTATATATACATTTATTTTTTATTTAGTCTGTGTTATTACTTTTCAATATAATGTTAAAAAAACTTATTATGTCCAACTTCAGTTAAAAGAGAAAGTTTTCGGCACCATTTCTTTGATCTCCTTCTAGTGCAGATTTCTTCCTCTCAAACTCTTCTTTTATTGCTCTGACCTTCTCTTTAATACTTCTTATTTCAGCCTTGAACACAAGTTCGATCCCAACCAATCCTTCACCTCTTCTTCTTCACTCTCTCTCCCTCCTCCTCACGATTTCTCTTCATGTTGGTCCCTCAAGAAACTCAACCTCTCTTGCTGCTTTTGATTGACATATGTAAGGGCCTCCTAGACAGAATTGTTACACTTGAACACACTTCAAACGCAATCTGTCACACTAACTCTTTCTCATCCTACCCTCAGCCTCTATATAAGTCAACTCATACCAAATACAACTTGAGAAAGTGTTCTAAAACATTTGCAATGTCATTCTGAAGGCCACCATATGAGCGAGCTTGAAGCTGAACGTTGTTAGTTGAAAAGTAATGGCAATAACTAAATCAAGAATAACTGTATATACAGTGACTTATTGACAAATTTTTTTATATATAATGACTAACTTAAAAATTTGAGTTAAGTATAAAAACCAAAAACTTATTTAAATCTTTTATTTTTTAGCTTATTTTATATTTTTATTTGAAATCTGCAATGTAAAGTAAATTTTTTATTTAATTCTTTAATATTTTGAGAACAATAAAAATAAATAAATATTAAATTTTTGAAAAATTAATATTTGTAAATTTAAAATCAAATTTAAAAATTAACTTAACAAAATCTTATTTAATTTGTATTGAGTTTCTATACTTTCTTTTCCTAAAAATGTGTACAAATTGAAATGTAAAATATTAGTTTTGTTTTACTTGTTTTCAGTTCAAATTAAATGCAATGTTAGTCGGTGAAAAATCTTAGTACTTTAAGAGTTTATTTTATTTTATTTTATTGCTAAAGTAATTAATAGTTAACTTTCTTATAATTAAAATTATCACAATTGATAAACATAATTAATATTTTACTTTAAAAAATTAGATAAGAAATTTAAATTGAGAATATCAATTCTCAATTGAGTAAATAACAAAGAGATTTCAAGGAACAGTTCATCTAGAATTTAATCCAAGTTTGACTCTTTAGTTTATGTTTGGGAAAGTTTTTATTGGGAAAAAATATTTTAAAGAAATTATTTTAAGAAAAATAAATAAATAAATAAATAAAACTATACACGCATTTAATTTTGTATAGCCAATATTTATGTTTGATTATACACAATTTGTTTGCAAGCCATATTCAATGTCATTGCAAATTTTTAAATAAGTTTTGTGATCTTTGAAATGATTTTTTTTTGTGTGAAACTTTGTTTATTTATATAAATAGAAACCTATATTACATATGTCTAAAACTAATGAATATATGAATAGAGTTTTGTTCTATATTTAAGTGGGACCCACTGTTACATTACTCGAGATATATAGATTTATGTATTGTGAACCTAGATTTCGCATGAATTTATGAATGAGAGTTTTATTTCTGCACTGTTAGATCCACTATCACATTACCTGAAACATGCATAAATTTTTGTTGGCAGTTAAAAGTTAATCTATATATATATTCACAATATAAAAAATTTATATTCTTATTCAACCATAAATTATTATATCAGAAAGAATAGTTGATTTTTATAATATTAATATAAAAATTATATTTATAATACATTTTAATTAATTAATAGTATAAAAATTTATACTGATACTTTACTCAAATTAAATTTTAAAATTTATTTTTCATAATGAAATACATTTAAGCACCTAATAAAATGAATTAACTTTGGTACCAAGAAATTAAGAAAAAAAATTAATTGTAGTTTTTTGTTCAACTTTACAATGTATAATTTAATTCAATACTAAAGGTTATTAAAGAGTTAAAGAAAAAATAAATGAATTGTCCAAAACTACTAAAATCTTCCTATTATCTCCTCTAGGTAAATGTTAAGTTTCTTAAACACGTTGAATCATTAAATCACCTTAGACATCATCAATGTATCACCAATATTATTTTAATAACATCAATCTATTTAAGAAGCATTTGAAATAAAGGTAACCAGTTTATACTCGAATTTCAAGTATACTTTAATATTTGTATTTACTAAAGCCTATCTAAAATCAGCTTCTCTGTGAATAAAGTGCGTCAATTCCTTTCCCAGCCTCTGCAAGAGCATTGGAAAAGTTTTCAAGGGACTTTTAAGGTTTAGTGGCACAATTCTACACGGTTTATTGCTACAACCAATTGTTTTAGGAGCTCCTTTCAGCCTAGTAGTGTTTTGTGATGCTGACTGGGCATCTGATCCTACTGACAGGATGTCAACATCTAGCTCATGCATATTTTTGAGACCTAATATCATATCATGGTGGTCTAAAAAGTAACAACTTGTGACTCGTTTAAGTGCAAAAGAAGAGTACAAAAGTCTAGCTAGTACTGCCACTGAAGTTTTATGGGTTCAATCTCTTCTTAGAGAACTCAAAAGTCTCAACTCTAACCCCCTAAGATATGTTGTGACAATCTTAGAGCAATTTCCTTGGCCCACAACTCTGTGTTGCAAGCTAGAACAAAACACATGAAGCTAGATATCTTCTTTGTTTGGGAAAAAGTTGCTAAACAAGATTTGATCATTTGTCATGTTCCCTTACAAAATCAATATGTTGATATTTTGACCAAGCCCCTTGGAAGTACAAGGTTTACAGAACTTCACAGAAAACTCATAGTAGTTGATTAATTCAGTGAAATCAACTCTTGTTAAGATCTCTCCTTTGAATTAGAGAGGGAATGTTAGAGTAATATTTTTCTGTTGCAACTAATCTCCAAGTAGACTTGTATTGATTAGTTAGTTGTCACACTTCACCACTATAAATATTGGTGTTTTGTATTTTGTGCAATCAATCTTTTCTGCATTAATTTATTATGATTTTTTTTCTTTTTCTATCAAATTCTTTTATTTTACAAATTTTAACATAAACAATTAGAAAATTTAATTATTCAATGAACAATATATAAAATAAAATTTTATTTTTTTTATTTTAATGATCATAGAGGAATTATTCAATAAAAAAATGTTAACTTCAGCTTAAAACAATTGAAAGTGATGATATAACAACTAACCATCTCAACCCTACACACTTCTTTATACACATTAGTGACTTGAGCATTTAAGTGTCAATGCAGGAATTCACTAGATCAAGTATTCAACTACTACTATAGCATTTAAAGCCTCACAACACACCATTGACCAAGTATTCACTAAACCTTGAACCTTGGACAAAATAAAATGCAAGTTTAGTATGACACCAAATGGGTAAAACCAATGAGACTATTAATATATCACACATGGATTCAAATTTTGGTGAAAGAAATATAAGTTTTTATGCGTAATTTGTGATTGCAAAATGTCTATGAAACTTACTAGGTAATTTATCTACTAGATAGTTAAAATCAATGGTAAATTAGTAATGCCATAAAAGGCCAGGGGAAGACAAAAAGAGTGTGGAAAATCAGCAGTGTTCATGAGTAATGTACTGTCTGCTATTGTTAAGGACAACTTAGATGTTGTTCTGTCTGGTAGTACGTTTATTAAACAAAATTCTAAATTTGATTAGAAAACATCATGAACAACACTTAAGCAACTATATCTAAATTTTGTCCTATTGTTAATTATTATAGTGACTCTGTGTCTAATTGTAGTTTAAGAGTCGTTTGTGTATTTATAAATCGATCTGTATGTGCTGCTGAAATTAGCAATAAAAAAGAAAGAAAATAGAATTATCGAACCTCTAAAATACACTCTTGTTCCATTTTTCTGCATGATTTTGCAATATCTATAGTTCACCATATTCTATAATTTATTGCGGTGTTTGAGAGTTTTACACCAACTCTAGAATACCACCACCAAGTGACAATATCCTAAAAGGGGGAAGGGTCAATAAAAAAGGCTACAATAAATGAGAATGCTCAAGGGAGTGAGTGAATGCACAAAAAAGATAAGACAATAATTACATGTATTTAGAAAATAAAATTAGCACCTATTGACCAAAAAGCAGTTAAAACTCTCTAAACATGGTTAGTTATGCGAAAAGAAGACTATTAGAATATCTTATCATACCTTAGATAATCCTCTAAGATTAGTTTCTCTATTTCCTTAACCTATCATGATTTGAATACATCAAACGTATTAATACATTGAACACATTTTAGGTAATATCAAATAAGTATTTCGTACTCTTTCATCTCTTTTCCTCCTTCCTTACCTAAAACCTCATAATTTCAATAAAGGCTCAAACAAGAAAGCAGAAAAGTGAATCAGACCAAAGATAACCCAATTAAAAAGAGTGGAGAAAAAGATAAGAAAGCTTCAAAATAAACCACTATAAATTGGCTACATTCAATGATTCAATCAAATGACTTTGGTATTGTTAAATGGAAGGATGTGTTCTCCATCCGACAGTTACCTCGAATGACTTTCCTTTGACAACAGCATATGCCAAAGGACTGGTAGAAAGTAGACACAGAGAAGCACACAATAGGAACCAATAAACAATGTTAAAAGGAAAAAAAAAAAATTGAATGTTGTATAAAAAATATAAGAAAGATCATCATCACACCTTTGACAGCAGAAAGAAATAATTATCTAAGTACAAATATATATATATATATATATATATATGCTGATGAAATATGACCTTTGTTCCCACGATCTCATTTCCCCTTTGGAAACACATGGATCCTATTCCTAACAACAAAAACAAATGATAAACATGACACAAATATGAATCTAACACTGCATGCACGTGTAACCATCATCTTGGAAACATCTCTGTCACAATATCTGTACCACTAAAGTGGCTTGAAGTTGCTTCATGTTGATTTTCAGTTTTTATGAACTTAATTGCTTGAGAAGACGATGTCTCATTCGAAGAACTGCCCTTCTTTGTGGAGCTGTGCCATTTGTATATTCCAGGTTCAGTCAATGCCTTCTCATTAAGATGGACTTCCTTGGATAGCATGTCGAATACTTGCTTCATGCTTGGTCTATGCTGAGCAGCTGATTGAGTGCAAAATAGAGCAACTATAAGGAACCGATACACCTCGCTCTCGTCATATTCACCAAGTTCTGAATCGACAAGGTCCAGAAGTCTATTTTCTTCTTTCAGCTTCCAAGCCTGCACGCATGAATGATATGTGAGGCGAAACAAAGCTATTGCTGCTACTTTTATGGTCAACCATAGAAAAGGATGCATTGATTTTTGTTTTTGTTTTCTGTGGGCTACACAGGATACAGCAACATTTAATAGCACTCACAGTATTTTCTCATCATTTATTAGACTGTCACATGTACCTTCAAAACCATTTAATTTGCATGCGAATTCAATTAATTTTAGGGGGCATTGACCATCTGTACATGCATCAAATCACATTCTAAAAGAGGTTCTATTATGCATGAGAAGTCTCAAATTTCAACTTCAAAATGAGTCTTACTAGATTAGGAAACCAAGATATCATATTAAAGCTAGTTCACCCAACCTTTGACAATTTATTGTTAGCATAAGAACCCCAACTTGATTAATGCTTTGCGATGATAAAAGACATTTTGTCTTTAATGACTATGATAAGTGATAACTATGCTTGATCTGTGCCAAGAACTCTTCATGCCGTATTATTGATACATGAATGCTGTTAGGAGAATTAATGTGAAAGTAAACAAAATGATCTATTCTAGAATGCATTATGTCAACTTACGAAGAGATTTGATGGTTCCTAAAGAAGTTCAATTTATAAATATTGGAATTCCTTATGTAGATTAAATGGTTTTGGAAAGAGAACCATAAATGAGCTGCTGAGGAAGCGTAAAATTAAGATACTCACAATCACTCAACCATTTCATGATTGAAATAAATATAAGATCGAACAGCTAACAAGAATGAGTCATATGCAGTCTATCAGAAAATTTTCCTTATGCAAAATATCTTTATATAATGTTCCAGAATCTTCTAGAAGTTTGTGATCCCAAAATTTGTTCTGCAAGGTTTTAGAAGAAGCAAAACTACAAACTCCTCTTTCTATCCCCCTTTATTTTAATTGCTATGCAAAGTTTCTGATTTTCTGGGTTTATTAGTTATCTGTCAACTAAAAGTTTTATCAGCCGTCTATTCTCTGTCAGATCAGTTTTAAGTTTGGGTTTAAGGAAGATTTTGAAAGGCTTGATTCAAACCCCTTCTCAAGCCCTCTTTTTACTTGCATTCACGAATTTATTTATCTTTATCTGTTCTTATGGATCAAGCAAAATATTACTCATACTTCAGAATCGAGAAATATACCCATTCCACCAGAACCAAAAAATCATCTTCAAATGCAGCTTTGCTACTACTTTTACCACTGATGATTTCAAGCATGAGAATTCCAAAACTGTATACATCAGCCTTCTTTGTAAGCTGTCCTAGAAGTGCATATTCTGGTGCAAGATATCCCCTGCATAGACAAAAGAAGTAAACTAGGTTTATATGTTATGGCCAAGCCTCATACAAATAATGATGGATGTTACATTATTACTAGGTAAATTTTATGAATTACTTAACTTTTCTGAAATGTTCAAAAATTAAAATGTATTAATGTAACAATTAAATATCTATTAATAATAAAAAGTAGAGATGGTAGCGGTGCATGTCAAAATGATTAAACTATTGTATGTTCTAGTAATTTGAAGCATATTACTATTGCAGTAGTATTACTATTCTTTTTTTAGGCAGGACTAAAGTTTTAGTCTAAAATGATTTCATTACGTCACATGAATCAGAAACAGAAGTGCTTAGTTAAGCCTATTCATGTTGTCTATATGGATTCATAAGACACCATAAACTTTATGAGTCACTGATATTTTGTTCCTATTAAAATCCGTGTCTTGATATGAATTATGGAATTCAAGGTTAAACTAATAAGCATGCAATGATCAAAAGGAAAATTTCTGGCACCAGTCACACAAAAATGGTATGTTAATGTAATATTTTACATCTGTGCTTACACAGTTCCTGCAACTCGAGTACTAACATGGGTGACATTGTCAGGGAAAAGTTTTGCAAGACCAAAATCCCCAATTTTAGGATTAAAGTTCCCATCCAGCAATATGTTGCTGGCCTTGATATCCCTATGAACAATGTTTGGTTGAGCCTCTTCATGGAGAAAACAAAGGCCAGAAGCTGTGCCACGACAAATTGCAGCCCTCTTTGGCCAATCCAGAGCAACATATTTACTTTTTGAACCTGAAAAATATTCTCTCAGCATTATCATATACCAATTCAGAAATAACCCTTCAATTCATTGATTTACACAGTAGCATAATGCATATCAAACCCGTGACATCCCATATACAAATACATATTTAAATTGTTTTAGTATTTACCAAGTAAAGAAATTGCGAGGCTATTGTTCTCCAGAAATTCATAAACCAATATCCGATGACTACCCTCAACACAGCAGCCAATCAGCTCCACAAGATTTGGATGTCGTATGTTTGATATCATATCAATTTCTGTCATAAATTCATGGGTTCCTTGTTTAGACTCCACAGAAAGAGACTTGATTGCAACCTGAGTACCATCCCTTAAAACTCCCTGTAAAGATTAATGACAAAGCAGCAAAGAAATGTACTGAAATCCATCTAAGAGATGTAGGCATTAATTAGAACAACAAAAAAACTGGGAAATAAAAACTGATGACTCTTACCTTGTAGACAACTCCATAACCTCCTCCACCAATTTTGCTTGAAGGATGAAAGTCTCCAGTTGCTGATCTCAATGAGTTAAGGCTAAACGTTTTAGTTGCAATCACTGTCAGAACACAAACATACAAATCTTACATAAATAAATCACAGAATGCAAGGTTTCTGAAATACAAACACCTAAAAGAATCAAGAATGCAGTTTTAGGAAGATAACATCCGTGTCAAAGATGTCTCACAAGATCTAGACAAGTTTCACCTTGAAATAGATATGCACGCATATTTTACTTATATAATTTGCAATATTTCCCACTATATGGTGGGTATTTAAAAAAATATAACATAACAAAAAAATAGTTTAACCACAAGACGCCCAGGCATCCCTGTTAGCCATCTTCTGTAGTTCAATATTAATATTAACCATATTAAATAGGATATTAGCATTTAAAAACATCCCATAAAGTTGGGACTAGAGAGTACTTAGGTGGTTCAAGAGAGAAAACTGATAATTTGCTGGTTGACATCATGTTTGACCTGCAATTATTAATGTTCAGCAACAGATAGATCCTGACAGTATAAACATGGAATCTATCTAATGAGTGTGAGGCTTGACATTTTGACTGTATGAGAGTGAGAACTCAAAAAAAGGGGAATTGCACCTATAATTTTACTACTAAGTGAAGCCGTGATATATCCTAAAACAAAGTTTTAAATGAACACTACCAGCAAGCAGAATACTCAAATAATTTTAAAACTCATTAGCCAGAATTAAGCCTTTTCTTTCTGGGGCAATTCAATCAAATTAAGATAGTATATCAAAATTAATTTTCATAGCCTAAAGTTAATTGCCAGAAACATTGAATCCTCTATCTCAGCCAGTTCATGAAGAATCTGATACAAAATTTTATACATTGTTGCGATTAGGTTCTACAAATCAATAGGCAATTTCAACCTTTGTTACAACATTTACCTGGCATTTGAACAGGAAAAATACAGAAAGGTACAGGAGAGAGAGAGAGAAGGATAAACAAACAGGCATAAATCATGAAACCCACAAGGTCAATGACCTATTCAATTTGACACAAACAACTGAACAAGGATGCAATTTAAAGGAGATACTCATACTCTGTACCTTGTTCATGTGGCTGGTCTGCAGGATCATCCCTCCCACCACACCAATTCAAAGCACCAAACCATTTGCAAATCATGGCTATGGCCCCACTCCAGTCTCCTAGACCACCATTAAACCATCTAACCGCATTTGCTCCTCAAATTTATCACACATGCCAACCACCAATGAGGGTGAAGGCTAGAAACATAAATTAAATAACTTGGAAGGGTAAAAAGAACATGCGTTTTTCACTGCATGGTTTGAATCACTGTTACACCCAGAATTCTACCCTGAATCTTCAAACAAATGAGGGTGCAAAAAGGGTGAAAAGCTAAAGCTTTTACTCTCATACAGAAAAGGTCACCAAACAGTTGATAGTTTAAGAATAGTGTTGCAGTGTTGGAAAGAACGTGTGAATCCATATATGGTTTAGGAATTGAAAAATGAAATGAAGGGTTGAGGAAGCTATCAAATGAAAGGAAGGACAACACAGAACAAAAAAAGTGTGGGGCTAAACTTTGAAAATGACATGTTTCTTCTCTTCCCACTTAACTTGACAAAATGAGTAATGGATTATAATATATAAGAGAAGGGTCATGTCGTCATACACGGAGACTTAAAGGGACAGGAAAACACTGAGTCAGAGTTCCGAAAAAATTCGACAAGAAAACTTCAGAGAATCTATCTTTCAGATTGAGTACTGTTGTTTGGTTCAAGGTTTGAACCGTATAAAAAATTATATTATCTTAATAAACATTCAAGTACTCGTTTATATAAATTTTTAATTTTTATTTGAGTTATAGTTTTCAATTGATTATAACTTTTTCTTGGATACTTACAGACGTAAATTAAGAAATTACAAACTTGGGAATAATAATGATACACACTCGAGAATAATAATGTGTTTGGTTAATTTTTTTTAAGAAATATATAAGAAAATTAGTAATATAAATTAACTATTTCTTTTAAACAAGTTAATTTCAACATATATTAAAAGTTTAAAATTGATAATAAAAAAAAAGGTTACAAAGTTTTAAAATAATATAATATAGTATTTTGAAAAAATAATACAAAGATCATATACATATAATTTTTCTATTAATATACAATATCGAACATAATAAAAATTATATATATAATAATTTTTATTAAAAATTAAAAATTTAATGCAATTTAATATATTATTAAATGTCATAATTTATTATATACAACATTACACAAAATATTATATATATATATATATATATATATATATATATATATCAACAATCAACGAAAACTACTACATTATAAAAAAATAAATAATATAAGATTAAGGGCCAAATCATAAATGCATTAATTTAATAATATTAATTAAAAAACTAAATAAAATATGTTTAGAAATATAGTAGCGCTATAATAATGAAATATAATAAATAAATGTAAACAATATATTAATAAAAACAAGTTAAAAAATGTTTATTGAAAAATATAAGAAAATTTCTTGCTCCATTGTCTTACATAGATTTTCTGTCCTGATTACAATGGGAGAAGCGTCCAAAATGCCATAAAGAATGGATATTGTATTTTGGAGCCCACTACTGATCAAATTGAAAATTCTATGATGTAAGACCTCATTGATCCTGATTTAAAAACATGAAGCTGTGACTTGGTTGAAAGCAATTTTTTAGCATTTGAAGCTATCAAAATCCTCTAAATCCCTTATCAAGATTTAACTTCCACCCTTTTTCTAGATCAAATTTAATTACAAGATTATAAATATTATTTTATAATTAAAATTTAAATTTTATATTAATAATTCACATAATAAAAAAAAGTCAACATTAAAAATTTCGTAACATCTTCACAAGATAAAATTTTAATCTTAAATAAATAAATAAATAAAATTTGTATAGTCACAAAATATGATTGTTTGGAGTTGGTCAATGTTTTCACCAGGAAATTAGTAGGCCCCTCTGAGTTTGCCTTAGTCGTTATAGACTGCCAATTAATTAGCCAACGCTTTAAAGACTTGTCCCCCTGTCATATGCGTAGAATTGGAAAATAGAACTAACTGCACATCAATTAGCAAAATTTACTTGTAATTAATAACCCTTAGTAATGCTGCATTGAAGAGTGTCATTAATTTATCTCCATAACAACATAAGCTTTATGTTGACCAACAAAAATTAAATATCATCCTCAACTTTGAATGTATGTTTAAAAATTTATTTGCATTTTTAAATTTACATTAATAGGTAACGTCCTTTGATTATTCTGTTAATAAACTAATATACTTATAAATTTGAAAAAATTAATTTTAACTCTAAATTGACGTTTGACAAGACATGATAAATTGTAATTTTTATTTTAGGTTAAAAAGTAATATTAAATTTTATTATGAATTTATTTTTAAAATAATATATTTTTAATAGAAGAATTTAAACTTATTTTTAAATAAGTGAATTTATATAATTAAACATATTTAATGTCAATTTTGTAAATATTTACCCTAATATGCAAACCAGGTCCAACAAACTAAAACTGTACGCTCAGTTATACATTATTTTTTTTATACATATAATAAACGGGGCTTAAAGCCCGTTCAGTTTGGTACATTATTAAATATAGCTTTCATGTTGATCTACCCTAAACGCGGTTTCAATCAAATGATTAATTCAAAACATGGTGCATAATAAACTTGAACTGCTTGTGTAATGATAAGTGGTTAAAATTTTGAATAATGATTTTTGATTAAGTTCAACAAATCTACAATGTGAACTTATCGTGAATGTTTATTTTAGTTATTGAAGAATATAATATTGTTTAAACTAATTCTTTAAATTTAAAAGTTCAGTGCATCAAATTTATTATTATTAATTATGTAAGTTCTTGTTATTAAAAGATTAATATTAAGTAATAGAGTAATAATTTATTATATGAAGTGACACATAAAAGTTTATTTTAGATACAAACTAATGTTGCTTTAGAACTTTTTAAAAATAGTTCATTTTTGTTTTTGACTTAAAAAATTTTCAACAATAAGATTTATTCCAAGTTTTATATTTTACCTTCTTCCATGCATATTTTTTCCTTCTTTTAGCCATTGTTGCAATAGCGTTCATGCTACCAAACTCCTTTATATTGGGTTTCCCCATCCAAACCACCATATCTACCTCAAGCTTAAAGGTTCCATGAAAGTCCAAAACAGATTAAATAAGGAAGGAGCATTCGTTGTCAAGGGATAGAATATGACAACATTGGAGGGGTGGAAGGGGCAATTGGTCCGAAAGAGTGTAGAGTATGAAGTAGATTGGTAGAAATGTTGAATTTGAAAGTAGTTTCACTTCAATGGATGTAACGGTGATGAGAGAGAGGTAGTTAAGGGATGAGATTTGAGTTGATAAAAACTATGATTTGTTGAGATGTATTTAAAAAAAAAAAAAAGGGCTGAAAAAGAGAGTGAGACCACTAAAAGACAAACGATTTTTGGAGTATACATCATTGTAACAATGACAAGAGGAAGGAAAAAAAATGTCATAAAAAAAATAAAGTAAAAGGTAAGAAAAAGACTTTATTGTTTGAAAATTTTAAAAATTCAGAATAAAAGAAAATTATTTTTAAAAGAACATAAAAAAAGTGTAGTTTTATGTCTAATTACTTAATGTGATAAATCATCATTCCATTGCTTAATTTTAATATTTTTTTACAATAAAGACTAATACAATCAATGATTGTTAATTTTAAATTTTGAGAACTAATTTTAATTAAGTTTCATATTTCATGAACTAAAGTAGAGAATTAACCTCTTCTTTTAATGTTAGAGATGGAATGAAACAATGCATGAAATATTTATTATTACTTGCCATTTTAATTTTTTAAAATTATAAAATATATCTATTATTAGTATAATTATAAAAGAGATAATAAAATATTTTAGACAAAAATTACTTTTAAAAAGTAGTTACATGTGTCCAACAACTTATATTTAAAAGACAACCTTTTGAACTAGTTAGCATTTCATGCAATATACAAACACTTATTATTATTATTAATATTATTATTATTATTATTATTATTATTATTATAGTTATTTTATAAAATATTTTAACTTAATTCTATGACTATGATTAATATGTGTTAAAATGATAAAATATAATAATTTTAAAATATGATTATTTTAAAATAACATTTGTATTGCACTGTTAAAAAATTAATTATCAATAATTAATATATTAATAACCACATTTTTAAGTGATAAAACTTTTAAAAATACATTTTCAATTAAAAAAATATCATTTACTCCAATAAAACGTATATGTATCCTTTTTTTAATATTTAAAATAGCTTCTAAATTAAAAGTATGATACCTCAAAGTAAAAATTACATTAAAAATAATAATAGATCAAGGGAAAATTAAAAAAAAATTGTAAAATCATAAACTTCAAATATCATAATATAATATAAAATCAATCAAATACAACACACTAATAAAAATTAAACAAATTTACTCTTATTTGAAGATCTCTTTCGTTTTCTAGATAATTTTTTATATAACTTTTTAAAGTTATAATTATAGATAGTTTACATATTTTATGGTTTTTCTTTTTCTTTTTCTCTTTTTCAAAAAATAATAAATTATGATGTATGTATAAAAAAAAAGTATAATTTATATACATAGTGAGAAAAAGAAATTACAACAAGAAATAACATAATTTATATGTTATTTTTAATTAATTTTATCTTAACAAGTTAATTGGTCCAAAAGCTGCGCTGGATGTTCTAGTTGGGCAATTTCATAAGCTAAGAAACTCATAGCCAGCGACAAAAATAAATATAGGCAGCATGGCCAATGACATATAACACTAAATTCCAGCCAAACTTTGCAACGTAATGCGGGAGAAAACCTATTTTTCTAAGTTCACAATTTACTTTAACATTTTTCATAAAAAAAAATTTGAATAAAACTTTGTTGTTGAAATAACATAATTAATATGTTGTTTTTATTAATTCATTTATTGCATGCTTTTCTTTTTCTGCTTCCTTTACTCATTAGCATAATCCTTGAGAATATAAAAGAAACACTCAAACTCAAAATGAAATGAGATAACATACAAACCATTTTTGCATAAATGATAACTTTGAGCTGTGCTAAATGCATATTATTATTTTTAATATATATATTTCTAACACACTTCTTATTATTTAATAAAATTTATGAGTCTACTGAAAAACGCAAATCTATAATGATTTTAGTTAGATGTACTAAAAGTTTACTTAATAATAATAAAAATATTAGAAAGAATATATTATTTATATCTCCATGACCGACCATTGGACCAGCATATGTATACGTGTGTCAAAATTTATTTTTTAATTTTCATATAAAAATAGTATTATTAAACAAATTTTCTATAACATATACACAAGAGATGTATGTAATGGGAAGGTTATTTTTATTTTTATATTATAATAAAATAAATAAATAAATTTAACCATATAATCATACATAAAATGTTCAACTTAAAATTTACTTTAAGGTCACATAATCACTAAAACAAAAATTTTATATTTTAATTATTGATGTAATAGTTAATGATCAACAATTTCCTTCAATATTAAATACACACTAGATATGAGCTCGAGGTAGTTAGTAGGCGAGGGGACCATACGCATTTGCATTGATGCATGGATGAACGAGACCATACGCATTTTTATACGCCGCATTATTGATTTTCATATTGTGGAAGATAAAATGAAGTTTTAAATGCCTCTGCTTATTAGGTTTAAATTTCATCTAAAATCTTTGTTTTAAGGTTACAGAATTAATAGTTAATAATGTCGAGAATAATTGCAATAGATTTTTTTTCTTCTAAAATGATCATTTATTAAATGTACTATATAATACAAATTTATCTTTGAAGAGAAAGAAGTGTAAATATTAAAATAAGAGCAAAGGGAAATGTAATATCAGCATATCTTAAGGAAGAAAATATAGTTAAAAAAGAAAATAGACATGATTAAGGAAAAAAGAAGGGTGGCATTTTGATCTTTATCTGTCTTATTTTATATGAAACGAACAAGACAAAAATTAAGCAAAAGAATAGATTTTTTTTCAAATTATCATTTATCCCCAAATAATTATAAATTTTTGGTTTTGTTAATTGATGTTTTATACTTGTTACTGATTATTTTTTAAAACTCATTGGACAGGTAATTTATAATGAAAATATGGAGTAACATCATCATTCATAAATATTCGTTTTTGACAGCTCAATAGATTACTTTGAACAAATACGGAGTATGAATCCATTACCTTACATGTTTAATTCAGTTTATTTAACTAAAACAAAAAATTTAGACATTTTTGAGAAACAGTTTAATGTAATTGTTTTTATAAAAAAAATTATCTATCAAACACTAGCAAGTGAGAAACACTACAGAAGAACCTTTAATCCGTACCAATTATTATAACAATATGCTTATTTTAAGTGTAAAACTAGATTCACTTATTGCATGAAATAGCTTTATATAATATTTGAATGTCACTAATTTACTATTCAGATCCTTTTCTTTGTGTTATTTAAAGAAAAACTCTAAACTACATGTTTTTTAGCTTCCAATGCCCAGTTTAACAGTGAACCTTTCAGCAATTTTAAGGTGTAAACAATTGAACAAGCTCATCAATTGGTAGTTCAATGTTCAGTACAAACCTTCTTGGTGACACAAACATGCTTAAATGGTTTCCTACAATAAAGTTCACATAATGTCTCAAGACAACCTTCCAGTGTATCAACACACTAGTAGAACCGAGACAGTGTACTACTATACTACAAACTTTCTATCATTAACACATCTATATGTGAACATGGTATCACATAAATATGAGTGCTATTTGTTCTACCACATATACAAATAAAGTGGCAAGAGCAGTGATGATCATACCATTGATCACCTACTATTTTTGATGACTGATAGGTGAAGAGTTTCCCCTCTCACTTCCAAAATCATTTTCTTCAATCTCACTCCCATCATAAGATATGGAGTTGTTATTTACACTTGGTTCAGAGCTAGCAGTGCTGCTTGTGGCAAGTGGTGAATCAGAAACACTCACTGTCCTGCTCTTTGATGAACTACCTGATCTCACACTGTACATAGAGGAAGCTGGAATGCTTGTCACAAGCGGTCGCAGATTACCCTGGATGCTTCGCCTTATGTCCTGTGGAAGAGAAACTTGTAACTTGCTTGATATGAATCACATAAATTATTCCATGTATATTTTAAAGCACTGTATACATTATTTATTGCAGAATAATAATGCATATTACACATTCAAATTCAGATAAACCGCGGTTTAAAACTATAATATAATTGAGATACTTAGCAATTCTTTGTCAACATTCTGTTGTAAGTTGTAACATACTTCATTATGTCTTAAATGTACTTTATATTAATGTCTATCTACTGAATCCTTCTATTCATTCTATTACTCAATATTGTGCATGAATGAACACTTTTCATTAAATTCAAACTTTAAACCTTGATATTAAAGAGAAGAGAATATGTAACCAAGTGTTTAGGTTTATAGATTCTGTTCATCATATCCTGCATTTTCCAGTATGTTCAAGATCAGATAGGAATCTAGACATGTATGTTATTCCCATATAAAGAATAGAAAAAAAATCTAGAAGTTAGCAGCCTTTACTACAAGGCATATATCAAGGCTAAGTATCTGTAAGCATTAATATCTTTCTCACAATATCATTTCATTAATTAAAGCTACAAAATCATTCTTCATTTTAGATAAAAACAAATGAGTAGTGGAATTAATGGACATACCATATGCCTCATTGCCATATCCAAGGACTTCTTTGAAAGGGTACTTCCAAATCCAGAGCTACTAGATGATGAAGATTTTCCATAAGAATTGTTATGAGAAGAATGATGGTCTTCATGCTTTGGTGGTGCCAGTTTTCTCATGTTTACTACTCTTTCAACCATTTTTGTCCCAATAACAACCGGGCTTTCATCATCACCATCAGTGAAACGAGCTCTACTCAAAGCATGCATGGAGCTCTGATTGCTGTGGCTAAACCCAGTTGAAGCCCTTGCTTTGGAAGGTGCACTTGATTGCCTTTTAGATTTTCCATTGCTATTGGCCTCAACAGAAGATGATCTAGAATTTGGCGCTCCAGGCCTACTCCTAGTGGCTGAAGCTGGTCTATCTGGCAATGATGTCTTCAAATTTGGAGGAGCATCAAGAGAAAAACCAGGCATTTGCGATGGTTCCCAAGGTCTAGATTTCACTGATGGAGAGCTTCCACGTGATTGCACCGGATTTTTAGAAACTGTGGGGCGAGCTTTTGATGCTGATGAAGGTCTAGTAGGAGGAGCAGATACTCCGAATGCCTTCGATGGGGTTGATGATCTAAGTGTTGGAGTTGCTGATCTTTGAGATGTCTTTGAAGATGCCAAGGAAGGCCTTGTAGTAGGTGTTGAGGACCTCACAGTGGATCTAGAAGGAGTGGATGATCGCACTGGTGGAGCTGTTGACTTTGCAGATGTTATGGTGGTTCGGGAGGTGGGTGTAGAGGGCCTAGAGGATTTGGTAGTTGAAGGTAATGTTGGCCTTCCAGATGGAGTTGAAGATCTGGAAGTGGCTGAGGTTGGACCAACAGATGAGGGTCTCCTACTACCAGTAGTGGAAGAACCGAGTCCCGGCACTGATGCATGATGCTTAGAAACTATATTGCTTCTTGGAGCAGGTTCTGCTTGGATATTAGCTACCTGCAGCACATGATGCGGCATAACAAGAAAGTTGCAAATATTGTATTAACTAAATCAACTAGAAAAAACATAATCTAATACTACTAGTTGAAATTCAAAAGAATTCAAGTTTTGGTACAGAAAGAGGAATTATAAAGACAAAGTGCTATGCTACATACACTCCAATCATATGATATGTTTCAACAGCATCCAAAAATCATATTAAATGTTTCTTACCCTAGGTTTTAAAGCTGTTGGACGAGCATTATGAATCTCCAGTTCACTCTTTATTGATATTTGTGACTCTTTTTCTAGAGTAGGAAAAAGAGGTGTATCCGGTGGTGTAAGAAGCCTGATAAAAGAAAACATCATGTCAATAATAAGTTAGGAGTTCTAGTGGACAAAAATGGTAATGTAATATAGATGCAGAAACTACGAATGAGGTTAAATACATAGAGGGAGTCTCTAAAACAGCTTAATAAGCACTTAGTCAATAAGCTCTTTTTACATGAGGGCTTATTATGCAAATTTAACCATAAAACACTTTGGAATAAACTGAAAAAGCTTATTAAAATAAGCTAAAAATTGCTTATGGTAACTAAAAATTGCTTATGAAATTTGGTTCTTTCAGAATGAGAAATCCAAATTAACAAAACGAGCTATGTACCATGCAAATAGAAAAATTGAATTCATTCTGATTCCTTCACTGAAGGTTGCAATTGAAATCAGCGGAGACTAATGTAGAGGTGTTCATAGATTTCCTTTTCCATGAAAATGATATCAATTTCAGGAAAGGATACAGAATAAGTAAAGCTTAATGTTAACTAGTTTCCTTTGGAGAAAACACTCAGCACCATAATCAAGTTCGGCACTAAAATGGGACATTGGCAAGCACCATTTATTGCAAGTTGATTATGATATATAAAATATTTGAGAAACGAATTAATTATCAATAATTATATCATGAATCGTTGATACGAGCAAGAACACAAAGGAAATTAGAACACAATGTGCGGTCTGAAATTGACATGAGCATATTTGGAAAAAAAAGAAAAAAAAAGGCTCGCAAATGGGGACCGCTAAAAAACATCAATCATAAACATCAATCATTCTAAAAATTTAATAATCATTTTGCAATGTTTGAGTGTGACTGCTTTCAACTAGACTGCTGGAATTACTCTATCATCGATCACATATAAAAACAAATGCTCACCAAAACTTAAATTTAATTAGAATTCCCTTTAGAATCCAATTGATTTACAAGATCTATTAACTCATAGGGCCAAATCATGCACCCCATCAGCAATAAAAAATTGCAGCCCCACATTACCATTCATAATCAGACTTGTCATTCTCTGAATTCAAGAACTCTTCAACCCCGGTCTTCCTTGGAGGCACTGAAGATACAATCTTGGAAATCATAGAGTTTCCACGAGTAGATTCTATAGAAATAGCATAATATAACATAAAATGGCGTCATTTAATTTAGAACATTACAAGCTCCAATAAAAAAACATGAGAAGAGAAAAAAAATACCCAAATTAGACAAATCAAGTTCCTCAGAGTTTTGAAGTAAGAGAAGGTTGTTCTTCTCATTTTCTTTCTCTCTCCTCCTCATCTCAAGAAACAGAGCGAGCTCTTCATCTCTCTCCTTCATCACCATCACTTCAGCTTCTCTCTGTCAACCTCTAAAGTATAAAATTAGAAAAGAAAAAAAAATTAAAACTTTGAGTACCCCTTAAAGCAAAAACTAAAACAAATCACCGAAGTTTCAGTCTTTCAATCAAAACATGAAGATTTGAATCATCAAAAATGACATGAAGGAAGATGATCCAAAAGGGTATTGTTGAAAGGCACTAAACAAGGATCTAATTACCTTTATTTGGCAAAAATGGAATGAAATGAATAATGGGTCAACACAAATAGTCTCCAATGAGCTAAGAACTTAGCTAGTGTTGGATGAAGAGTTGAAACAAGTAGATTGATTGGTGTTTGTCTTACAAGCACAAGAGGGAGAAGCTGTTTTTGTTGGATATGTTTGATTTGATGAATGATGAGTTTGGCTTGACAAGGTTGGAAGGTGCAGTTGCAGTGACATTCAGATGTTTGAAAATGGAAGACAAGAAATAAAAACAGAAGATTTGAATTCAATTTATGCGGTTTATTTTATTTATTTATTTGTCTCACTGACACAATTAATGGCTTTTATTAAAATAGTTTGCTTTGATCCTCCTTAGAATTTGAAGCTAAAGTTCGTCCATAGGTTTTGAGGTTAATGACGATGCTGCCACTCTGAGGGAAATATTTGAATGGTACAAAAATTCATAATACTGAAATAAGACGCCGCTAGAATTCAACTGGAAATGCTATCAAAATATTAACAAGTCTGTTAATATGATTCTTTAAGATTGATTTTCAATATTTAAAATAATATTTTTATGAAAAATAATATCAATTATGTTTTTTATATAATAAATATTTTCAATCAAAAGTTATATTTCATTACTTAAATTTAATTCTAAAATTTGATATTAACAAAACTAAAATATTATATGATATACCTTTTATGGCACAGCATATAATGTTTTTCAAATACACTTTTTTTTAAAAAAATGTTTAAGGACACAAGTTTATAATTAATTTATGATTTTTTAGTTTATTTTTTTAAGGAAACATGTTTGATAAATTATAAAATATATAATTTTAAAAATTAACTTATAAAAAATTGTTTGATAAATAATATTTAAATTATTAAAATTGAATTAATATTTTTTATTTTTATCTTTTACTTTTTAAACACTATATGCTCGTACAAAATAATTTTAAGTGGTACCTCTTACATGAGACTGTCATCGTTATTCACACCCTCTTTTATTTCTCATTTAAGTAATTAGTTAATGTTAAATAAGAAATTAGAATATTTAATTAAATAGTCACTAATAAATATATAAATTTAATAATATTATTATATTAATATAATACTATATTCAGAATTATTTAATACATATAGCTAATTGTATAATTAATTTTATTAAATAATTATAATTTAATATTAATTAATTGTAAATTGAACCTAAATTTATCTGGATGCAAATCGGATAAAAACTTGACTAAAGAGGCCACAAAATATGTAGTAATAATATAAAACTTGTATACTTTTACAAATAATACAGAAAGTATGTTTGAAAAGAGTAAGTCACAATAAAATAAATTAATTAAGAATAAATATTGCTATATAATTAAGTATTGAAACATTACAGATTTTGCTTTAATTCTTTAACGTGTCAAATTATGTCAATAATGAATATATCTTAATTCAATTAATTCAAATTGTGTATTTAATTAGGTTTGATTAATTTATTAATATGTTTATGAAAAAGTGTAACTGTACCATAAATTTATCTAGATTTTGCATAAAGAAGGGAAAGATAAAAATAAAAGAGAGAGAAACACAGAATAAAATGTTTGGTATAATAAAAACATTATAAAAATAATGGATAAATAATACTACAATTATTTACATAATTGGCAGCAAAACTTGCCAAACCAGATTGATTAACAACACGTCTTTTAATTTGAAACATAGATGGCATTATGGTTGGAAGATAAGATTTGGTTTGGCAGAATGAACAAATAGTCGTATACCCAATAAATAAAAAGTGAATTGCAATTTGCAATGAAACAATAACAGATGTTTGTCCTGTTTATAATGGCATAAAAATGTCTCCATCACAATTACTTCTGTCCTTCTTGCCATTTCTTCCCTATGCATTAGCCAAATCAGTTCTCGGTCACCCAAAAACACGCTTAATGTTTATAATAATATAAATATTTTAATATTTAAAATATTAAAAAATTACAACTATCATTCTAAATATTCTAAATAAGAAATACAATGTTATCTTAAATTTATGAAAACAGTAAAAAATATTTTATTAAAATTAAAAGTAAATATTTTTTTATCAAAATAAATACTTAGACATATTAAACTATATAAAATTTTATATGTATAATAAATAAGGTAATATTATATGAATTAAAGTTTAAATTGATTAAGTTCACATATGATAAAAAATTATTAAAAAATATAATTTTTTTTTTATAAATGCTAATATGATGATAAAATGGACCAAGACATTCTCTCTTGCACCTCACCACATGAGGCACCTATGCTTTGACTTAACAAATATACAAAAAAACAAGTTATGAATAATTTAATTTGGTCTGATTTAGAAGTATTCAAAAGTGAAATAGATTAATTCTGAAGAAATTCAAAGTTGAGATGGCATAGGCAATTTGGCGTGGAATGGCACATTTCAAAACTGGTGATGGGTCAAACATGAAACGTGGGCTGTTGGACTCTCGAGATGTAGGAAAGGAAGATCACACGGTGGAGATTGGAGAGAGAAGATGGGGCCTCGTAAATCGTGCGGTTCAAAATTTGGATTGGAGGAAGACGCTCCTCTCTGATTGTGAGGGTCCCATTTGCTTGGATCTTTGTTATATTAACTTTGCAAATTGCATTTATGATTGGTGCTCAACTGCTCACCCATCCCTGAATCACTGCCCCCACTCACTGCCAGGTTGCACCTTCCATCATCAATATTTTCTTTTCCTTTTCTTACTTTAAAATGTCTCAGAATTTAGTGTTCTAATTAAAGATAAAATTTAAGTATAATTTTTGCTGTTTATTAATTATATTTTATAATAGTATTAAATATAAATATTTAAAAATTTAAAAATAAATAATGCTAGTAATACTTTAAAAAGTTTATGTTTTGACTAACTTATTTTAATTATAATTATTATTTTCATTTTAAAAGAATTTCATTTTTTACCCACAAACTACACTACATCGAAAGTCACACATGATCACCCACCTTTTGGTGAAGTCTTGTTCTTTTGCAACATGTTCATTTCTCAATCCTTTTAACTCTAGCCATATCCTGCTAAACAACATTTCACTATCTTTCTTTTGAGAGGTCCAACTTCTTAAACTTCTAACCAACACACTCTTTGTCTTGCCCAATCGTTGTACCTCTAGATCCATGTGTTGCGCTGTTTGTATAGTACACTATGGTGTTGAGAGCTTAAGGCAGAAAAGGCTTAGCCTTCAAGGTATGTTCACCACCTTCATGCTTAAGGCTCAACCCACTGACTCTTAGATATACTAACTTGTAACTTGACTAACCTATTATCTAAAGCCAAGGTTAATGGAGAGGGGGCCAAAAATCATTACATTTGATTATCAGGGCTTGAACTCGACTAAAGAATTATTATGCTCGATAACTCTTTATAAACATTGAATTTCATCAATTTAATCACAAAACTAAAAGTTCTTCTTGAATAGCTCAAATTTAAAAATATTAGATAAATCAAAAACTAATTAATATAAGTAAACATTAATCATAAAATTATAAATTCATGAACATGTAATTTATTTAAAACCTAAAATACATTATCAATATGAATATATCACCTTGTTCAATAGTTGAAGTAATGAAACTCAATATTTATAAAAACTTATCAAACAAAGTATTTTTTGTTAGAGTTGCTTCATGAATAACTTGATCCCACACTCAATATTTATGAAGACCATATTTGATTTCATATAAAGAATAAAAAGGATAACACATAATGTACTTATAAGTAGTATTGTATCATTAATATTGATAACGAGAAATATTAGTAAAAACTCAAACCTAGTTTTTAAAGTATCTAGTTAAAAATTTAATAAAGATAAATTTAATATGTTATAATTAATAACGTTGAAGAAAATGTAAATCTATGACTAATAAACTTAAAATCAAACGTGCACTAATGTGTTGATTCATTATTATCAATATTTGACACTTTCCTTCCTAACTAGATTGTTTCAGATTTAAACTTAAGAAAACAAAAACAAAGCCCCACCCCATTTATTTCTCACCATCGTTCATGCTTCTTTGTCATTGACCATCATTACCTATTGTTCTTTAAGTTTGTTAATCCACAATCTGTACTCTCTAACCTAAAAAACAAAGTGTGTGACGTTAATCACTTGGATGTTGAAGCTCTATCACCTTTTAGACCCATCTTACTGATGGATTGAAAAAATAGAATTTGGAGGGTGTTGTTTCATCATTACTTGTTTACTCATAGAAAAACAAGAGCTGTAATTTGAGGATAATTATTTCCAATTATTCTTCCTCATTTTCCTTTTTCAAGGAGTTTGAAGCTTAAATTTGTTGAGTTTTCATTTGCATAACCCTATCATTTATTTAAAGAAAACTACATATGTATTACTTAAACCAGCCTCTCATTAGTAGTTTTATTCGCTATTTAACTCATTAATGATAATAATATGTTTCAACATATGTCAATCAAAAATTATTCCATAATAATTACATAATAATTAAAAATTGATATATAAAGTATTTAAAAATATAGAAAACAAAGGAGAAAAGTCAAATAACAACAGAAGAAGAGTTCAATACAAATCAACAAATTTGACAAATTATGGGTTTTATTTCTTTCACTTTCATGACATGCTCATAGGCTCACCACCATTGTTTTAAATTTTCCTTGTCCTCGCGTTTTTAATTTGGTCAATCAACATTTTTTGTTTTCTCCTTTGGCTCTTTTAAAATATGCATAAGTGGTGTGAACTATATTATTTGAGTTTTCTTACACCAGTGTAAGTCCAAAACTCTTATACTCAATTTTAACTATTTATTTAACTTACATATAACGACTATATTTTATAATATATCAATTTTTCTCTCTCACTAACTTATTTAATGTGTTATAATTTATTACTTCACTACTCTCACTTTTTATTTCTCTCTTCTGATATTCTGTTTATTTCTATTACTCATATTCTACTTAAAACAGTACAAGCTAACACCTTTGTAATAAATCTACACAAATAATATAATTTATTAATTCATTGGTATTTTATTTTATAAAAAAATATATAAATAATTTAATAATTAAAAAATAAAATTTTATATTCTATAAATAATTATATATAATAAAATTATTTTAAATAATAATTTAAAAATAATTTAATATAGTTTTGTAATTACAAATAGTATGTTTAAAATTAT